ATGTGGTGATTGACATTATTCACCCACGGATCTATGGGTTGGGGTTATTGTTCCGCACGGACATTTTAGTTAACCGGACTTACTGTTGATGTGAAATCCGAAAACATTTTTTAAAATAAAATAATACTTTATTCCGAGTTTGCTTACTTTTCTGTTTGGAGGTCATCACATAACGGCATTGTAATACACGGTTCGGCTGCATTAAATATTACATATCTGCCGTAGTTCTGTATTTATAGAGCGCTGATGAGAAGACTTCTGGACAAACAGGAAGCACTGCCGCCAAAACTGAAAACGTGACGTGGATCATAAATATATCAGCAATTAAACAACATCTTACATTTCTTTTCACACAATAAGTCTCCTTGCAGTATCAATACTAATTCGGCTGACTTTTATATTTGATCCAATTGGTAGATAGGCTGTATTTACACCATAACGGTGCACAGCTGATAGAAAGGCACATCTAGTGGTTAAAGCACGTTATTGAATTGTATTATTTTATTATTTTTCACAAAAATGAAACCATCAATAGCAGAAACAGTATTAACTGTAAAACACCCAAAAAAAAAGATCATTAGTGGTTTTGTTTTATATATATTTTAAGGATAATAATAGCAATGTAACACTGTCTATGACACTTACTGTATAACACTGATTTGAAAAACATACAGAAAAAACTAATTCACTGCCCTTAATAAAGTATTTAAATATACATTTCAGGTGTGCTGTTTTGTTTAGATCATTGACATCTGGAGCTCTTTTAATGTCCTTTTTGATTATTGTTACACCAGGTCTTGTCAAAACCTTTATTCCATATTCAATATCCATTACTAAACAAAACAGCAATTCTACTCCACTACAATTCAGAGGTTAACCTGGTATTTTTACTCCACTACATTTATTTTAGTTACTTTGCAGATTCTGATTAATGATGTGAAATATAAACAACCCTTAAATCAGGCTTTAGTTACACCTGAGTAAAATTCAGGGAAAGGTGATTGTCAAGTGCCAACAATCAGGAGAGATATTTGATAGTTGCTGCTTGAGAAGACTAAACATTTATCTGCAGATCCCTATAAAGTATATTCATTACTCGTTATTCTCTACTAATAGTTAATTAAAGACTGTATATAATGGCTATTTTGCATATCCCTTTCAAGATTTCCTAAGGTTCATTGACATATCATATACACAACTAATTCAATAACGTGCTTTAACCACTAGGCGGTGCACACAAGGTACACACAGCCATAATAACTTTGTATTATTAATGTAGGACACTTGTGTATGTATAACATCTGAAGATGTGTAGTTTTATTCATGTTTTCACATAATTGTACAGGATATTGCTATATTATTTCACATGTTTTACTTATAATATCTGATTTGTAAAACATCACAGACAGAAAGGTATATCCGTCATTTAACAGTAAGCTATTGAAATTCTGAATCCATAGATGTGTCTCCCATCACCCAAATCCCCTGACTATTCTCTCAATTCAGTATTTACATTCTTATATTCAAAGAAAATCAGTAATATCTTTAAAAATGACAAGTCCTTTTATATCAGCTGTGCACCGTTATGGTGTATAACGTATTTTTTTTTTCGGATTTCACATCAACAGTAAGTCCGGTTAACTAAAATGTCCGTGCAGAACAATACCCCCAACCCATAGATCCGTGGGTGAATAATGTCAATCACCACAATACACACATCCCTTCACATTTACATTTTAATTTACATTAAAGTATTTCGTGAGGCCTTCTAAAATGTTTTAAAATATAATTAGGGTTTAGTTGAAGAGTTTGTAAATTGCGTTGCCTGGCAACGCAATTGCACAACGTCACGTCCGTTAATTCCACATCCACACCAGTCTATGATCCACACACATGGATTAACATCGATTTAATACATTAATATAGCCTTTGTTTCTGCTAAAAGAGGTGTCGACCAGCTAGGGCAACAAGAAAATCGGCGAAATCAAGTGTGACGATTAAAAAATAAATTAAAAACATCTCATTTTGACAATAAAAACCGACCAATAGGCGCGGTAGACCATTTGCTTGGCACTTCCGGGTATTTCTCCACTGGTTGGGCCATGTTAACAATACCGTGTAACTGTCACGTTTGAAGGGACGAAACCGTGACATATTCACGTGGTAGCATGGTAGATCGTCACATGTTCACGTCTTGCCGTGATACCGGGTTGGGGACAAAACCTGACCAGTGAAGTGAACGGTGACTGTAAAAACTACACTGCGCATGCTCAGAGTATTTTCCTATTTAATGTGTGTGGCAAACAAATAATGACCATAGGGGCACTGAGCTGCCATCCCCACCATACGTCATCTCACATCATTCAGAGCTGATTGGCTGTAAGTACGTGTGCCGCGAAAAGTGTGGTGTGTGAAGAGGAGACGAGAGCGCTGCAGTGACGCGTCCTAAAACCCGGAAGTAAGCTGCGCATGGCTTCCCTCGACAAAAAAGCAATGAGATTTCTCCATAGGATTTTAGAAAATAGCTCGAAATAAGATCTGTGGGAAACGTACCTGTTAGATAAATGCACGTTTTGTTCAGCCGGATAATATCCACATGTCTACCCTACTTTTATAATTTTTGAATCATAAATCTATCAATTAGATTTATGATAGACTTTTGAAACTACAAGAAGATAAGGAGGACTTTTACAAAAAAGTAATAAAAATGTTTGTCCAGAAGGATAGGCAAATGGACTTCATCTTCAAGTCAAGGTAAGACCGCAATTTTATTGAAAATGGGATCTTATGGCGCGTTTCCACTACACGGCCTCGCTCGGCCCCGCTCGGTATGGCTGGGCCTCGTTAGGACTGGCTCACTTTATGGCGCATTTCCATTACAGTTTAGGAACTGGGGTAGTATCTATAGTAACGCAGTGTAGGCGGAGCCGTGACGTGATCTTCAGAGAACCCCAGAAAAACAACACAGCCGTTAGCTGTTAGCACTCAGAGCTCACAGCTCCTCATATATGTTCAGAAACTAGATAAAAGTTAAACAAGTACAAACCACAGACTGCCTGTGTCATGGTGAATACAGTCGCTGCTTTATTTATGTCTGTATAGGCCGTTGTTGTGAGTGTGGACGGTCGGAGCATATACTGCGTTAGCTTAGCCAATCTCCATTTAGAACGCACGCATTTTAAAAGGTTTTTCGCCTGCCGTCTGTCTGCAGACTTGACAAAGCATTAATTCATGGTTTTTACTAACCGGTATCAGTATGTTGTTACTTCGGCATCATTTTGAAACGTGTATTACAATTAAATCACGGTCAAATATGTCCATCTTGTTGTAGTTGTAGCCCCCTTGCCAGCGATGCTCTCTCTAGTTTAGCATACTCAGCCCGACTCAGCCTCGTTGTCTCTGGCCCTAGACCCGCGATTTTATGAGGCCAGAAAAACTGTGAATTAGGACCCGCCGGCCGGTACTAGGCCAAGTGGAAACGCAACCAAAGACGGGCCGCTGACATCACAGCCCTCTTAAACCGTGCTCCGCGCTGTAGTGGAAACGCGCCATTACTCACCCCTAGATTCCACCGGGTCCGTCTGCGGCGCGTTACGGGCGCGTTACGGCTGCGCCGCGGTGCTCACGGCGATCGCGGCCACTCTAGTCAACGGGTGCTATTCCACCACACGCGGCGCGTTACGGCTCAGAAGCGTCCCAGAAGCGGCTCGGCGCAGGGCTCCTCTAAAATTAGGATCGAATCCTATTTTTGTCACGGCGCAGCCGTAACGTAAGGTCGGGCAGGCAGGAAGTGGAACGTTCAGAGCTATATATACACACACACAAACTAATTTTGCAGACCCTATCCCTCCGTAGTCTTTCAAGTAGGAGGAGAAATGCCAGCGTTCTCCTCCGGTTTACAGGCACTGTGTAAATTATATATATAGAATAATTATGATGATGAATGCATTTTTTTACCACTAAAATACAGCAACACATCTTTGATTCATGTCGTTTATAACTGGAATATTACAGTTATTATTAACTTTGTCTGTACAACGTAGCCTGTCCAGGAAATATGCCCAAATCAACAAAAACTGCGAGCCGGCAGGCAAGACGCTCCGCTTCTGAAATGCTTCTGAAACGCGCCTGGTAGGGTATGACGCCGGAGGAGGCCGGACCAAAACCGCAACGCGGCGCAGACGGACCCGGTGGAATCTAGGGGTAAGAGAGAACAATTCAATATTTAAATGATAAAATTACATTTTTTGGGTATCCTTTTGTTGAACTGTCTGTTTAAAATTAATCAAAGCATCAGACAAAAAAAGCTTTTGAAAATAATATTATATTTTGGTTTAGGTCAAAATATAATATTTGTAAACCTGAAGAGTCAGTGCCAGTGCCTCACCAGCCATGAACCTCACTGCACGTCACTGCAGAAGCTTATATATAGACATCTAAGTTTTTTGTGCCCCACCACTTTTGTACATATAAAAACGCCACTGCCTACCCTACCTTTAACAAATAAGACATTTACATTAAAAATATATAATTAGGTTATTTAAAAATATAAATAACCATCACCATCAACTACGTATATTGAGTTCCTCCTTTTTTGCCACAAAATTGTTTATAATCTGATTAGTTATTTTGGACAGTGGAATTTAATTGTGCGCTTATTATGGGCCACCCCAATTTACCGTCAGCGCATGTACCCTAATTGCACGAATACACGCGCAATTATAATCGGAGGCTTTTTAAATGTCCTATGGAAATGAAGTATACAGCAGTACAGTGACTTTGTCCACAGTCAGGGCACCCATCTTTCTTCAGAGGTGTTTTTTCTTAAACCCACAGGCTACACCAACAGCATTCTCTCGCTTAGTTACAGACCTCGTTGAAGGGCAGCTCGCGCCCCCCCCCCCACACCTCCCATTGGCTCCATCTGCACAGACTTCTCCTGCATGTCAATATCGGGGCTGGCGAGTGGCGACGACAGAACGTGTTCCAGTTCACAGAAACGTGGCCGCAAGTTTTAAAAACGCCCTTCTCGAGGCGTTCCTCCACACAGCACATTATATATTTTGCTGCAAAACCAAACAGAGTAAGAGTTTTGAAAGTAGCCTTGTGAGAGAAAGAGCCGAGCAGAAACGCAGACAGGATTCCTGGAAACTTTATTCCAGTCTTGGAGCGGGCTGTCAGCATGGTATGTCCACAACACATCGAAGTTCTGATTTAACACGTTGATAACTTTATGAGCTCCAATGTTTAATATCCATCTTATTATTTATTTTACTTGACGCTCTTTTTTTTCTTGTTGAACATGTTGCACGTTTGCTGTATGATTTTCCGTTACTTGACTCTTCGTCAGTGACTTAACCAGTCATGAATATAGGCTTTAAGGCTGTGTTTTGCCTCACTTTGGATAATCTCTGTCATGCAGCTGATTTTCCGTGCATTTGTTTACAGGAATATACAGGCTGCATAGCCACAGATATGTTTTTAAACCCACGACAGCTTTTACTGTGTACAAGAAAGCTAATGTAGTGTGCATTTAAAATTTAGATGTGGATCAACTATATACTGTAAAGCAGCACAAACTAAGTGTATTGTGTGACTTTTTTTGTAGGTTTATGATGATTTTACCATACGTTTAGTCACATCATCAAGTGACTGTAGCTCTGACAACACTCCTACACGTTGTTCTAATGCAGATGTAAACACCCTTAAAGTGAAGCTGAAAGGAAGCACTCACTTTTTAATCATCTACCAAATATATGTGAATGACTTCCATCATGCATTGTTGTTGCAAATGTATGGTGATACATAGCCTATTATTGTATGTATAGGTTTTTTCCCCATTATATCCTGGAGGCAATCATATTTACTGAAGAGGGGGGAGTTGATTGACTATGATTATGCAGTATTGTGTGAGTGTTTGCTGTGTGTGTGTTTGGGGGGTGTTGGCCCTCTCACTTTTAGATAAATAAATATGTCACAGCTGATAATATACTGTAGCTTTTTAAAATGGCATGTTGTTATTCTGCCTCTTTAAATCCTTTGTATGTTATCCACATGACCATTATTTTTGTAATGTGTTGACACACAGCCAACATAAGCACTGCAATAGATCTAATTTAAGTTAGTGACAAGTACCTGATGGCCTGAGTGGGATGGTTTAATTTAGTAGTGTGCCTGTTGCCAGTCAGTCATGTTGTGTGAATACCAAAATGACATTGAGACTCACATATTTAAGACAGCAAGTTGTAAATTGTGAACGGCAGGGCGATCTGGTGACTTTGAGAGTTGTTTGCTTTACTCTTAAGCCTTACTAGGTCCTGAGCTGGAAGATTGCCAAAAAGAGATATTTAAAAAAAAAAAAAAATCACTTGCTCCTTTTCAAACATGACGTCCACATGTCAAATTGCAGGAATGAAAAGGTCTTTATTCTGGCTGTTTGTAGAGGGCTGGTGTGTGTGCAAACTGAAACACACTTGAACTGTTTAAAGCATTGATCCTCATAATGTGCAGACAAATAAAACACAATGTTTCACAAATTCTCATACGATACATGTGTGACGAAAACTTCGCTCCACTATCCTCTTTTTCTGGATTGTATACATGTTCAGTCATATGTATCTTTTTCTACCATTTAGTCATGTATACATTGTGAGACTGTGAGCAGAGGTGTTTTTTAATGAACTCTGTGGTCATGTTTGAGGTTTAGCTGTGTTAAAAAAACTGCATTGCATTGTATTAGTCCTCTACATGTGGATATTTTGGAAAATCGCAGACAATTTCTTAAATGGTTTCAGTTTGCTAAATATTAAAAAAACAAAGGTGTTTTTAGAGATTAACTATGCGGGTCTTCACACTGTTCACTGGGGACAGACAGTGTGGTTGCCTTTTCTCCAACTGTACCCAGAGATAGACCCTAGCTGACCGAACATTTACAATCTGTGTGTGTGTGTGTGTGTGTGTGTCAAGTGTGCTTGGGGAAAGGGGCAACAAGATCATTTATGGTTAGCCAAGAATAGAGAAGAGAAAGAAGCATGCAGCATTTTTACACATTTCCACAACACAAAAATGATAGTAAAGTCTTTATCGATTTAGAAAAAGCTGGCATAAACAGGAAATTGCAATGTCTCTATTTAAAATAATTGTAAATTGGTTTAACAAATGACAATGCGATTTGATACAGGGTTGCTGTGTATGGAGCTTGAGGAGACTACTGTAAAAACTGTTGCTTTGGTAAAACTTAAAAAATATGTGTCAAGTGATTCCAAGCAATTTTAAGAGTTTAGTCAACTTTTGCAATTTTTGAGTTGGTGAAATGTACTTTTTTTAGTTTTCCTCTACTCAAGAATGTGTTACTTTGCTAAAACTTAAAAAAATATGTGTCAAGCGGTTCCAAGCAATCTTAAGAGTTTAGTCAACTTTTGCAATTTTTGAGTTGGTGAAATGTACTTTTTTTAGTTTTCCTCTACTCAAGAATGTGTTACTTTGCTAAAACTTAAAAAATATGTGTCAAGTGGTTCCAAGCAATTATAGGAGTTGGGTAAACTCACTAATGTGATTTTTTTCTGCATATGAAAAGATGAGATGAGCCTACAATTAAAAGCCCAGATATTAAGTGTAACCAATGCAAATAACAATCTGCTAAGAACCACACGAGAATAAAGTAAATTATAAAACACAATTGAGTTGCCGTAACCTATATACGACAAACTCTTCCTGATTTCAATCCAACCCTTTAAATATTTGATAGCATTGAAACATTGCAGATTAAACAAATAAATTAAAAAAGGGAACGTTATGGACATGTTAATACATTTTATTAAAATTTGATTATTTCAAAACAGTTGTCATAAAAGAGTAACAAGTTTGTTTAAAAGCACAACACATTAACATACATGGAGACACATGGTTATTACTTGATGGTTATAACTGCATCTGGCTCTTGGGCAACGTATAACTTCATGCTGTGCATCACGAGCCTGTTGCACTTCGACCTCTGCTGTTCCCTGTAAATACAAATAAAACACTAAATTGAGTACAAATCAGGACACACCATGTGTTTTCCTCAAAACAAAAATCAAATCCGTCTTGAAAACATAACGAGCCAGTTTACATTAGCTGTTAACAGACGGTAACAGAGGTGCTATTCACATGCATTACAAGGGGTTTAAGCCATCAAAAAAAGGCTGGTTTGCAAGAAAATGAACCAAATAGTCATGATATTGATATAGTTCATAAAATGTCCAACTACTTCTTTTTAACCCCACCTCATGCTCAGAGATGTATATAAAGTGGCACATGGGTTCTAGAATAAAAAGAACAGACGATTATTTCAACTTTTATCTTGATAAGTGAGAGCGCAGGCCAGTCTACATGAATGCAGGGCAAGGCACGTCCAAAGGTTCCATGATGGAGTCGATAATGTTTTAAAATATCACTTTGAGTGGTGACACTAGTGCTGCATAGTTTACATCTCCATCCCATCTGTGATTCAAAAAATAGAAATGGGTACTTTTACCTGATGCTCATTATATTAGTATGTAAACATAACACGTCTTGAATTAACCTCTGAAACAACAACTTTAGTCTAACACACTCAAGGGCTTACCTAATGTGAACCTGAAGTCGATAGCAGGAGGCTAAATGTCTTCAAGAGGAGGTGTGACTGTTTTCTGGTGAGGCAAATGAAAGAACAAAATAGTTACATGATGACAATGTAACAATCATTTCAGTAGAATTCATTAAAACATATTTAATTCAATTAATGGAGTCAAACATTAAAACACAAGTATCATTTAAAACGGTATTGTATTTATATACATTTATAAGGATGGCATTTATTAAGGATGGTATTGTTAGATACCAGTACAATTCCATGATTCTCTACACAGCAGATCCTAATTACTTCAATATACACTCCTTTATCTCGTTTGCATACTGTCTAATATCTACTTTATGTTGTAGTAAAACATCTCCTTAATAAAACTGTATTTATTGATATTTCTCGCTAAAGACTGCATTTTACTGTACTACATTGAACACATCTTGCTGACGTTATACATGCATCCTCGCCCAATACACACTTTTACTGAATTGCGCCTGAATGCACCTTAACTGAAGTCACCTCCGTCACTTTCTACTGAGAGCTAACGTTAACTCTCCTGCAGATTCCAACATGGATGTGCATCTATAGCGTTGCATAAGCATGACAAATATAGTTTGCACTTCATATTGTATAATAACAACTCGATGCTGTAACTGCAGACTATGAGTTTAAATTGGGTACACTAAGATTGTAGAAAGATAATTCATTGCTCACAGTAAAACAAACGGCAAAATACATACAGAGGAATTAATATCAAATAGGCGCATTAGTAACTTACTCTTACATAACCGCTGGGTTATAAAGTAGTAGGGAATAGTTTTAGCGGAGGTATTTTACCGCACAACATGCACGGCAGGAGAGCCTGAGCCCCGCGGCCGCATCACGGTGCCCGGGCCAACGCTTAGAGCGGCATAGGGGAACGGTTTGCGGAGTTGATTCTTAATAGTACTCTTAACTTAACCACTTTTAACATAATTGCGTCGGTAAGCACTTGATGCAAACTTTGCCCAACAACTTTGCGCAAAGAAATAGACTACATGAGCATGACAGGGCTGAGTCTAACTTTAACAGCAGTAATGACGCTGGCATGCATTAAAATTTCGATGTTCTGTTCAAAACAGTGAATACAAGAAAAGTGAATAACACTTGCTAGTTAAAAAGCAGTAATTAATAACTCAGGTGGCATGCTTATTTGTTTTACGATGGTTTGAGGAGGATCCAACGCAAACACGTGTCCAACTGCTGAAGAACCGCTGGACAGGAAGTCTCACACCGCGGTATTCTCGTTTGAGGGCGTGGCATGACCGTGGCGTTGACAAAAGCATTTTTATTACGTTTTCCAAAACGTATTTTTAAAGAAAGTTCAGAAAATGTGATATTAATTTACAAATTAATGAGTTCTTAAAACATGTTCTCATTGTTGCTTAAGTGTAACTTATTTAAACGCACATTGAAAAAAAACTAATTTAGGGCAAATAAATTACATTAAAAAATTGAGTTTTGTTGATTTCACCATCGGAACTGTTTTTACAGTGTATGAGGTACACTTAAATAAAACAAATTACCTTCATCTGCATTTATGCAAAAATTAATGCAATGATTACTTTGGTGATAAGACTGTTTTGGAGTGCAAGTTGTTTTTCTTTGAAAGGAATTATCTAAACCACCAAGGTTACTCACACTCCTGATAGCCCAACTTTATCTAAATCCAGAGTTAACTACGGCTACAACTAGCAATTGTTTTAATTTATGAATAGTTTAGTAAACAAAGTCTGTAAATATGAAAGAATGACATCTTCAAAAGACTTGCTTTATCTGATTTACAGTCTATAACCAAGGGAAGTAAGAGCCAAAAAATAACACAAAATATGTTTTCTACCAGGAGGGATTCATAAATCAGAGCAATGACAAAAGACGTGAAACTGGATACAAATTTGATTTATGACAGCTTTTGCCAGACAACCACAACGCTGTCCCATGTGCTAAGGGCATACACCCCAGTAAATTAAACGGACCATAACCTTAATTAAAACCATGGCTACATTGAACAAAACTACAACAAAAGCCTGCTTTGGTTTTTTATAAATGGGTCCTTAAATTGTATCTGTCACCAACTATGTCAACCACGTGGTGCACACATGCGCCTCAGCACCACCCACAGTGTGAACCAATGTAAACCCAACACCTCCCACTGGAGTACCCCACCCACTTGAACTAAAACGACAGAGTATCTCTCCGTCAGACAGGGATCTGCATGGCGGCTGCTGTTCTTCCCCTCCTCTCTATTTGTGTTTGCTGGCATATTTTGGTCACACTCCCACACTCTCGCTCTATGAATGTGTTTATATATATATATATATATATAAATGTATCTCTATATATGTCTGAAATCACCTGACGTGTCTCACCATGAGTTCTGACCTGCCACATACTGTTCTGGGTCAAACCCTCCTGTAATTTTCCATTCTCACCATCTGATACCAACACTGGTACAGCTAGGTCATGCTCTAAAGCCAGTTTGGCAAACCTTAAGTCATTGGAGCTGAATGAGTTTGTGAGAGTGGGTACTTAAGGTGCAGTCAGGAAATCACCTGTTCTTTTGCACTGAGCAGAGGTTTACAAAGTGGGAGGCAGGACTCTCCAGGGGGGCTTTAACCCATTTTAGTGGAGGCTTCGTGAATGGAACTGAAGAGATATTACACAATGTAAAGACACCTAATGGCTATCGCAAATAAATGGCGGCCATCATTATTATTAAAAACGTAGTTGGAGGTATTGTTTTAATGAAAGTGCTAAGGTAAATGACTTTAAACTAAACTAATTTATTTCCTCAGACTTCCTTTTTTTTCTCCACATGGAGCATATCCGTTTTGTCTATTTATGAATTGAGTTATGTCTTACACGTGTGTCTTCACATTACAGGTCATAGGTGGAAACCACACATGAGTTCTTGTTCCCTCGCCGAACTCTCAGTGGTCTTTAATCAATCCCCCCAACACTGTATATCTTAAAGGGGACCTATCATGCAAAATGTGTCCCCGGTGCGTCGGGGAACTCACGCAGCGTCAGAAAATAAAACCCTTTCTCTTTTCCTCCGTACCCAAATCTTTTTAACAACGGGTGTACAACGAGCGGATACAGATTCCATCCGATCTGACGTCAAATTGGCGGCGGACCCACAGAAAGTTGCTATCAGAAACAATGCCTGACGTGTTTTGGACGTCTTTGTTTACATTAGCAAGCCTCGCTAACACTCAGAGCTAACCTGTACTGTGTAGAGCACATGTGTTTAAAAAGCAGGAAATAAAAAAGGAACTCACCTTGTGATAAACCTGCAAGAGAAAAAGCATTTGAGCTCCATACTATTTCAGAAATAATCCTTGACGTGGTTTAAACAGGATGGCGAAATATCACAACCGAATTTAACTTTATCTCCGGTAGAATTCTGATCAGGCATTAGCTCCGCCTCCTCTTATTTATTTTTTTCAAGCTAAGGACCCAAAATCTGCATTTCTCTAACAGGGCTTCAAAAGAGGGGTTTGAGCAATATGAGGCATGGCTACAATGGGTGATCTGTTTGGTATTTTGAAAAAAAAACGTCACAAACATGTTTTGTATAGGTATGGCCCTACAATATATTTTTCAAATATAGCATAATAGGTCCACTTTATGTTGTATTATAGACTGCTGTGGTCCCAGTGTTGCAATGCAGAACTTGGATTCTTACTTTATAATATTTTTTGGGTTCAATATATTTCAATGGTTATGTGAATAATGTTTAAAAAATGATGTTTTCCAATCTAAACATTAGTCAGAATAATCACAAAATGTTCCTTTTTTTCTAAATTGCGCAGCCTTTATTATCACAGTTAATCATTCTTCTTCTTCTTTGTTTCTCTCAAGACGGAGAAACCTCCTCTGGACAGCCTGGAGGACCGAGCCTGGCTGGGCGAGGGTCAGTCTGAGACTCAGCTCACAGCTGTGCCCGGTCTGGACGGAGCAGAGACGAGCAACGCAGACCGGCCAGCGTGGGACTCCAAGGTCCAGTATGTGTTGGCCCAGGTGGGGTTCAGCGTGGGCCTCGGGAATGTGTGGAGGTTCCCGTACCTTTGCCACCAAAATGGCGGAGGTGAGTGTCTTTAAAGGGGCCTTTTATGCTTGTCAGGGTTTTCCCTTTCCTGTAGCGTGTTATATCTTTTTTTGTGCGTGTAAATGTCTGCAAAGGCTAAAATGACAAAGTGTTCTCTCCCACACACTCCTTTGTTTACTTCAGTAACATAATGATATCATTTTGTAACACTTGCGCTCCAACACATTGTACATGATTGGCTAAGAGGCGGGACATTTCTAAGATGTTGACCAATGATAAAGAAATGTTTGGACATTAACGCATGTAAACATGTCACAGTAGAGGCAAAAATACAAATATGAACCTGAAGATTATTATAATAGGGCCCCTTTAAAAAAGAGCGTACTTTCCAACTCTTTGTTCTGCCTCATGACCGTAGCTCTCCAGAACCAGTAGCCGAGACTTATTTTAAATGAGCATTTTGTTTCAATAAAAATATATAATAAGGAAAGAGTATTAAGGAATATGCCTTCATCCTTTTAACATCTTCCTTTTCGTTCCAGGGGCCTTCATGCTGCTGTATGTTTTTCTTTTACTGATTGTGGGAGTTCCACTCTTTTTTATGGAGTTGGCAGCCGGCCAAAGCATTCGCCAGGGCAGCATCGGCGTTTGGAAGCACATCTCCCCAAAGCTGGCGGGGATCGGTTACTCCAGCTGCATAGTGAGGGTTTTACCTTTTTTTGTAAAGTTATTTTTTCTTCAGACTTTAAGATCATACTATTCATGTATGGAAAATAGGTTATACTTTAGATTTTTTTATTGGTAGAGATTAGTAAAATCCGGGGAAGCAATCAAATCAATGCTCTATTCCTTGTGTTGTAATGTATGTATGTTTACACACGTGGGAAAAACTGCTCATACTGTAGCTCACAGTGTGTCGGCCAGGCTGCAGTGTCATGAGCATAAATGTCTTCCTTCAGGCATTGAAAAGCCATAACATGTACTACCTCATTTATCAACCCTATGTAAACAACGTTTTTTTTCTTCTAGCCACACTGTATTTATGCTAAAGAAAGGGCACTGAAGGATATCCTGCCATGTTGTAATGTGAGAGTTATTTGCGTAACAGTCTCTATAGACAAGCCCGGCAAGAGTGGGCAAAACTTTCTGTGCAAACACAGCACACAGACGTTCACTTGTAAGACTAGACGCCCATTCTTACTCAATACTTTTCTAAAAAAAAAACACCTAATTGCTCTGTTAAGCTAATGTCATAGTCACAATTCATTACAGCTATGTGTTGGGGAATAATTTGCCCTGCATGTCCTCCTTCGCCCTCTGACGCAGCTGACCAACCTTGAGCAGCCGTTATCTCCCATAAGGAGGGGCTGCCCTAGCATATTGTTGATGTTGCCAGTTTGTGATCGGGCAACTCTCTGTCAGAGATAGTTATTGTTGTGGGATACCTTGAACACAACCTTCTCAGGGTGTAGATGACCCCGAGCCATAAGCGACAACAACTGTGATTCAGTGTCCTCAGCTGCAATTTTCTACCTATCATATGTATGCTGATGACACTATTGTATACTCGTGTGCTCCTTCTCTGGATATGGCCGTTTCCAATTTAAAATCAGATTTTATCACGCTGCAGCATGCGCTTCTTGATTCTAAACTGCTATTGAACAGTAAGAAAACCAAAGCAATGCTTTTTGCTCCCAAGTCAGCGTCCTCCTCTTGCCTCTCCATTGACACCCTTGATGGCGTTTCTGTTGAGTTTGTTGATACCTACAAATATCTGGGCTTTTGGTTGGACAGTAATCTGAACTTTAAACACCATATTGAAGTTTTAACAAAGAAATTGAAATTCACTCTTGGCTTCCTTTTCAGATTTAAATGTTGTTTTTCAATTTCATCCCGTAAAAGGTTGGTCTCTGGCTTATTCCTGTCCCAGCTGGACTACGGTGATACCATTTATAGATTTGCCTGTCCCACTGTTTTGGCCAAACTTGACCCACTTTACCATGCTGCACTGCGTTATATATCAAATGCACCCTATAGGACTCATCATTGCACACTGTATAGCCTAACTGGATGGTCCTCACTTACTATGCGTAGGATGCAGCACTGGTTTTTATTAATGTATAAAGCCATTTTAGGTAAGCTTCCAGATTTGCCCCAGTTTGCGACTCTTACAACCTCAGATCCAGTGCCTGGATACGGTTCCAGGTACCTACTGTACGGACTGAGGCTGGAAAAAGGAGTCTTTCTTATTATGGTCCTTGGTCTTGGAATGACCTTCAATCATGCCTTAAACTGAGGGCACTTGTCTCTATATCATGTTTTAAATTGAAGTTGTCTGAAGTCCTCACCACCAGCTGCTCTTGCAGTAACAGGTAGTGTACTTTTTATTGTCCTAATGTGCACAATGTAGTGACTGCTTTTTCGTCTTTTGTAGTTATGTTCTCTGTATTTTATATGTTTGTGTTATGTGTAACGTTGCTGCCTTCTTGGCCAGGTCAGCATTGAAAATGAGATTTTATCTCAATGTTTTTATCTGGTTAAATAAAGGTTAAATAAATAAAAAAATAAAAAATAGTCTATCTATTGAAGAATGTTGATTATTACACTCTGAACTAGTTAAAACCTCGAGCTACAGGAGGGTTCTTGAGGATTGATTGTGGCATCTCAACCGTGTGGTCAAACCGTGGCCCGTGACATGTCTTGTGAATTCTCCGGCCGAAACTCCAAATAAACCGTCAGTGTTTGCCATCAAAGCTCCAGCTCTCCTCGTGTCTCTCTGAGTCCTGACTCCAATTGCTTCAGAAGTTTCCCCCACACTATGCATTAAGAATACAACTGTAAACATGATCATTATAACTTTTGGGATGCAAATGCATGAAATTAGAAAAAATTGCATCATGGGTAATTTGAGATGTTCTATTTCTGACTATCTTACTATGTCAATATTGATCATTCACAGTCCCTTTCTTCTCTTCTAGGTCTGTTTTTACGTGGCTCTATATTACAATGTTATCATTGCGTGGAGCCTTTTCTACCTGGGTAATTCTTTTCAGTATCCTCTGCCCTGGGAGCATTGTCCATTCGATGTATCTACCAATGCAACAGGTACTGACAGAACTGAGAAGTTCATTGATTCACTGGCTGTAGATGCCAGTCCAATGTCTATAATGTTGTCTTTCCTAAATCAACAGTGAAAGAATGTGCCAGTTCTTCACCAACTTCATATTTCTGGTTTCGGAAAGCCCTTGACATCACAAACTGCATTGATGAATCTGGAGAGTTTAACCCCATCATGACAGGCTGTTTGTTGGCCGCTTGGGCAATCGTGTCCCTGGCTATGATCAAGGGCATCAAGTCTTCTGCAAAGGTACATTTGCCTCTTTCTTTTTTTTTTTCCCGAGCGAAAAGGATCCCTTGATCATGAACCAATATATATATACCAAATGTATGCTTTGTGTCATTGTTGAGGGAATTTTATGAGCTTTGTGTCGTTGTTGACTAATTAGCTTTTTGGCTGAGAGTTTTATGAGTAGATCCATTACACTGTCATATGTCCGGTAAATATAAACAACAGACAACAGACAGTTAACTTAACAAAGACTGGAAAAACAAAGCACATCACCCGTAAAAACATTTCAATTATCAATTGTACGCATTGGTGTTAATGTGATTTACAAGATAGGGTTTTGGTTAGTTTGTCAGCTTGATAACTGCTGATATGTTTCCTTCCAGAAAGAGCCAGGTTAGCTGTTTCCAGTCTCTATGCTAACTCTCAGTTCATTACATTACATGAGGCAGACAGACAGGAGAATGCTATTAATCTTTTCATCCAACTCTTCAGCAAAAATCGAAAAAAAGGCTTATTTCCCTGAAATTCAAAAATATTCCTTTAAAAGTTTCCAACACAGAAATCATCTCCTATTTCTTTTCCCAAATCTTAGGTGATGTACTTTTCCTCAGTTTTTCCCTATGTGGTGCTTTTTATTTTCCTCATCAGAGGATTGATGTTGGACGGTGCGATGGATGGAATCGCCTACATGTTTTATCCTAAAGTAAGCGCACATTTCATCTTGACTTTAATCATATTCATGTCTTGATTTACAGGGATGCAAACTTGTCACCTTTCGGCGAAATTCGCCGTTTTGAATCCAAAATAGGTCGTTTGTGTGATTCATGTAGATCTGCAATAAAAATATTTTTGGGGTATGGGGGGGGTCTGGGACCCGGAGTAATCTGCGGCCGCGAGCTGTTATGTGCCATCATGACACGCATGGTGTTCTTTTTTTTATATATTATAATGCAGCGCGAGCTGTGTGCTCGAGTCTTCCTGCCTGTCGGCTCTGCTCATGGATGTATAATAAGGCTCTGCCGCTCCGCTATGATGGTCTAGCTTAATTAGCTACATTACCTATGGGTGCGTTCGTTAATATTAACTGTGCGGTCCGGAGTCACTGTGGCACAGACTGGAACGCTGGTTAGCAGCTGTTAGAACGGGCCGTTCAGGTGTTCAGATCAGAGCTCCCTGTCGGAGCGGCAGAGCATGATGTGCACTGAAAAGTGTTCCTGTCGCAATATTATCGTTGAGCTAGCTAACTAGCATACATTGTCACTATCTGCTAACGTTAGCTTTAGCCTTCGTTTTCAAATAGTTTTTTTCATAGGCTATAAACAGAGGTGGTATAAGTATAGATCTTGTACTTGAGTAAAAGTAGAAGCACTCAGATCTTGTACTAGAGTAAAAGTAGAAGTACTCAGATCTTGTACTAGAGTAAAAGTAGAAGTATTCAGGTCTTGTTCGTAAAAGTAGAAGTACTCAGATCTTGTACTTGAGTAAAAGTAGAAGCACTCAGATCTTGTACTTGATTAAAAGTAGAAGTACTCAGGTTTGAGTAAAAGTAGAAGTACCAGAGTGTAGGAACAATCCTGCAATCAAAATGTTCCTCAAATAAAAGTACAAAAGTATTATCATCAAAATATAGTTAAAGTAGCGACAGTAAAAGTAGAAGTACTCAGATCTTGTACTTGAGTAAAAGTAGAAGTACTCAGGTCTTGTACTTGAGTAAAAGTAGAAGTACCAGAGTGTATGAATACTCTGTTACAGTAAAAGTACTGCATTCAAAATGTTCCTCAAGTAAAAGTAGAAAAGTATTATCATCAAAATATAGTGAAAGTAGCGACAGTAAAAGTAGTCGTTGTGCAGATTGGTCCATTTCAGAATAATATATATGATATGTTTTATAATGATTGATCATGAAAGTGTTCTCAAAGCTGGTAAAGGTGCAGCTAGTTTGAATGACTTTGTATACTGCAGGGTAGCTTGTGGATTTACTCCAGGTGGAACTAAAGTCTGATTTAACACTTGATTATATTTCACATCATTCATCCACATCTGTAAAGTAACTAAAGGTATTAAATACATGTAGTGGAGTAAAAGTACACCATGTACCTCTGAACTGTCGAGGAGTAGAAGTACACCATGTACCTCTGAACTGTAGTGGAGTAGAACAAAGTAGCAAAACATTGAAATACATAAATAAAGTACAAGTATCTCAAAATTGTACCCAAGTATAGTACTTGAGTTTATGAACTTAGTTACTTTACACCAGTGGCTATAAAGATAGAAAGACTAAGCCTTGCACAGAGGCATGAAAATACATTTTCAAAAACAGCTCAACACAATTAAAATAAATGCTTTTATATATTTCTATTAGATGTGACTCTTTGGCGTTTCTGTTATTATTAACTGCTTTAGTTGTTCTGACTGCTAAAATCCTGTTATTCCTCATTTTAAAGCCGATATTCCGTGGGGTGGGGGGGTCGGGGGGGCTCGGATCCTTGTCACCTTTTTCATACCTGATGAGTTTGCATCCCTGGATTTAGATTTGTATCCAATGAATGCCAAATGAAAAATGAGTAGAGAGTGTTGAAAATATAGCTGGATGTTTTCACATTTTCTACCATTTCACAATTATTAAGACTTAAAGGTAGGGTAGGTAAGTTTGAGAAACCGGCTCGAGATCGCTAGAATTTGAAAATACACAACCGGAGAAAATCTGCCACTTCCTTAGAGAGCCCCTCCTCCAACACACACGAACGCACACATGACCAATGAGGGCACGAGATAAGTTTGTGCACAGATGGAAGGCTGACAGGCAGGTAGGCCATCCAGTTATTTTAGCCGGGCCGGCTAAAATGATTGGTCGTGCTTTTTACAGTACTACGGCTTCCACAGATGACATTTTTTTATGGATTTTTTGTCAAAGCACTTAAGATATTCATTGCTATCGGGATGTTAAGAGCATTCCATGGAATATAACAAAAAGTGTATCTCGAGCCGGTTTCTCAAACTTACCTACCCTACCTTTAAAGGTCAGCTATTATGCAAAATCCACTTTTTCATGTCTTTTATACATAAACATGTGTCCCCTCTCTTTCACGAAAAAAGATTCGCTCACTTTTTGTCCTGATCCATTTATATAAAAACCTGTCTGAAAATGAGCTGAACAGATTTTGGCCACTTTATGATGTCATAACGATTTTTTGGCTTGTGTAACCATTAGCCAATCACCAACCAAGGTAACTACCCTATCACCTGAATCTCCTCCTAGAGCACCATTGTGTTCTTTTTAACCAAATATCTCTCAGAGGGGCGTGGGGAGTGGCTCCTTATTTTCATCTAAAGTAACAGACAGAGAATCAGCACTTTTCAAACAGGGCTGAAACAGAGGGGATTATGGGATGCTACAATGATCTGTTTGGTATTTGGAGCCAAACACTTCAGAGACATGTTTTGTATATATCTGAGACCTATAATATATTGATGAAAAACAGTATAATAGGGGACCTTTAATGAGATTTTGTTTCCTTGTTTTTTTCCAGCTAGAACTCTGGAGGAGTGTGCAGGTGTGGCGCCAGGCTGCTACTCAAGTGTTTTTTGCTCTCGGACTTGGCTATGGCTCAGTGATCGCTTATTCCTCCTACAATCCAGTGAACAACAACTGCCACAGGGACGCCCTCATGGTCTCGGGCATCAACTTCATGACGTCTGTGCTGGCCTCGCTCGTGGTTTTCGTCATTCTGGGTTTCCGTGCCAAGAACATTGCAATGCGCTGCGTGGCTGAGTACGGATGTGTATGTGTGTGTGCATGAATATTGACTTCCCTTACTGTAAGTGTCCACACATTACATCCAACACTTTATTTATAATGCTGTTAAAAGCACTACTCCTACAGTATATAAGTCCCAAAGTTTGTGTTATTGCAACATTATAAAAAAAAGAAGAGTACTCTCAACACCATACCATGTAATTAGGTTATTAGCTTTGTTTTGGCCTAAAACTTACTAATTTAGCTTTTCCTGTTTGAATAACTAGGCAGCTGAAAAGTATTGAGGGCAAATATGTTCATGCCTTGACTATAAAAATGAAATACAACAATATGAGATATTTCATTTGATGTGATTTGATAAGATTAGATATACTTTATTGATCTCAAATTGGGAAATAGTTTTGTCGCAGCAGCATGTTAAGAATGCATTTCGCATGAGATCAAATATATATACAGTAGTAGTTATATCTATAGAGAATCTAAGGATACATTTATTTATACTGTTGGTAACCGGACCCAATACAATCACTGATTGTAATCATAATAAACCAATATTTGAGTGAATGAATTCTCAAAGCAAATATTGCCTGTAAAATGTTTAATCTTTTTTTTCTTCTAACTACTTCCAGAAATCTTGGTCTCCTGAGCCACATGGGGTCTAACCAGCATTTTGATCCTTGGATCAACGCGACTGACCCGAGCTCTGTGTCTCTAGAGGAATACAGAGACTGGTTCAGTCACCACAGCTCCACGCTGGGTCCTAACATCACCGACTGCAGCCTGGAAGAGGAGATGAACAAGGTATCATTTACATTTAATCTGAATTAGCTTTTTATTTAATATTGGGGTTGTAAAGAGATACAATGAGAGTTTTTTTTTACTGTGAAATGAATAAGAAAAAGTCAGAAAACAAACTAATCAAAGCATAAACTTAAAACAGTAAGCATGGACAACAAGAATAACAGGTTGGTGTCCAGCACTAAGATACAGGGTTAACCTGATTGTGGTTAATTGTTAAAAACATGACTTTCGAAAAGCTGTTTTATCCATCGAGTATCATGAACACTTTGGAGGCCACAACATTTCCAAGAACCAAAAAAATTGAATAAAATTGATTTTGCTTCTTTTTGAGTTGCAGGACACAGGCTTGCTTAAAAAAACACCAGGTATTCAAACATAGGTGGATATCTCAATAACAATAGAAAGAAGGTGTGGTGCTGAGAACCCCTGAGGAACCGGTGAGGTAATATCCAGCAGGCGATAGTAAGAAAACACGGGACAGACCATGTAGTAGGTCTCAATGAGAGATGAAAGCGTGCTGTGATAGAGGAGTGGAAGGAGGAACTAAAATAACAGAGGCAGGGTCACTCCAAGTCATGTTATCTAATAGCTTTTATTTGACTACAAAACATTACTCCACTCCCTACTGCGTCGACCACTACAGCATGGCTTCTTGTATAGTGCTATCAGATTATAACTACAAATAGGGGTCCAAAAACTGACTTTTAAGAATGTTGTTTTCTCCTTGCCACCTAATATTTATTTGCAATCTTCAGTCAACGTTTACAAAATCCTTATTCCCTCTCTGTTTTCCCTTTTGTATGATGCAGGGTATTGAAGGGACAGGCCTGGCATTCATAGCGTTCACTGAGGTGATGGCCCTTTTCCCTGCCAGCCCCTTCTGGTCCACACTGTTTTTCCTAATGCTGCTCAACCTGGGCCTCAGCACCATGTTTGGGACCATGCAGGGAATCCTCACACCTCTCATGGACAATTTTAGCCTCTTGGGCCGTCACCGAACCATCCTCACTGGTAACAGGATGCTCAGTTTTATAGGCATTTTGTTTTAAAGCAACAAGAATTTGTGGCTAAAATGAAGATCTCTACAGTTAAATGTGAAAATTCTCTCTTAAGCGGGACATTTTGATGTCTGTATGTGTAGTGCTGTCAGTGTTTTCTGACTTTTTCTTGATCTATTGCCTTCTAAAGACTACAAATATTGTCTGTTTGCAGCACAATTATTAATCAGATAGCTGCTATTGTCTAACACTGTCTGCCATCTTCTTTTTGTTTCAGTTTCCAGCTGTGCTCTGGGTTTTGTAATCGGACTGTTGTTCACTCAGCGCTCAGGCAACTATTTTGTGACGATGTTTGACGACTACTCTGCAACTTTACCGTTAGTCATTGTAGTAATATTTGAAACCATTGCTGTGTCGTGGGTTTATGGAGCAGATCGGTAAGGAACCAATATGTCTGACACTTTTAAATTACTTGCCTCCTGTTTTTTAAATGTCTTTTATTTCTTACATCTCATGTAAATATTTTCCATGATTTCAGCTTCCTGGATGAGATTGAAGTCATGCTCAAGTGGCGCCCTCCGGTGGTGTACAAATATCTTTGGAAATATGTTTGTTTGATCGCGATGGTTGGTCTTCTGGCTGCTAGTTTTATGCGCATGGTTTTCAAAAGGCCCACATACACCGCCTGGAATCAAGCCACGGTAAGATACTTCACTTCTTTCTCTTCTACATAGAATAATTGTATCTCATAGCCTCTAATATTACTCACTATGTAAACTTCTCTCTATAGGCTATGTGTTCCCCCAACTGCACTCAATACCTTCAATAAAAACTCAAAACAATTTTTTAATTTTGTATGGGAGACACTACAAGTCAGTAGGGTACAAACATTGAACTTATACATACAATATTCCCCTTGTTGAGTAAATTACATATTATCTTAGTGAGCATCTGCTAATTTGCATACATTTCCACAACAGAAATCTGTATTTCTGTATAGATAAAGCCAGGATCAAAATCCAAGAAAATACTTTCAACAGCCAAAAACAAAAACAAATGTTTGCCATGCTTTTACTTTTTAGGTTTTTAATGTTATTTAAATTGGGTTATGGCTGATATATGAACAAACCCCTCTTAAAAACCTTCAAATAGGAATACAAATGGAAAAGTTGTTAACGATGTGTATAGGTTCCCTACCTACTAGGGTTGAAAAATAAATAAATAGTAGGCATCACCATTAAACTTTCCCAGTTAAATTGCTGAGAGGTATTTAATCTTAACTTTGCAATGTATTCAGGGTCACTATCAAAGTATTGAGTAGTTTTTGAAGCATTGTGCATCCCATATTCTCTCTCTCTGACATGCCCTCTCTCTCCCCCTCTCCAGGGCTCTGAGATGACCCTCGAGTACCCGGGTTGGGCTCTCGGTATGATCGTCATGCTGATAGCCCTTGCCAGCTTGCCGGTGCCGATTGGCTACATCCATTCCATGTGGAAAAACCGCACGGCCCATAACCCTCTCTCTGAGGAGGGGGGCGGCCAGGCGATGCACCGTGAGTTGTACACCAAGTGCAGCTCCACCGATCAGCTGGAGTCCCTCAACAGAGACCCTTCTGAGGAAGACGAGGCTCCTCCCAGGACCACCTTCCTGCCCCTGGGCAGCGAACACTACCGGCTCCTGGAGCAGGAGGAGGAGGAGGAGGAGGAAGATGAAGAAGAACAAGACACAGTGGTGTGAGCACGACTGTGGACGAGGATATGTTTCAATGTTGAACATCAAAGAGTGTATGAACAAGAGCCAGCAAAGTGTAGGCAGCGCAGTCCTAAACAGATTTATTTATCATCTGAAGAAGAGTTGTTGCACCCCATTTGATCAAATTCAGCAAGTTCTACATTGTTGACAAAACCAAAGTGATTTTAATATTTATGTTTTTAAAGATGACTAGTCAAAAGAGAGATTTTAGATTTAGTAGTTATAAAACTATCACTGCTTGTCAATCACTATCACTATCACTCCATTCATTTTCTCAACCGCTCGCACTGTTCAGAAAATGAAAACACTCCCTGAAACATAGAACAACTGTATTTTGTGAAACAAGGATTTTATGGAAGTATTTAGAGTGGGAAATTGACAAGCCAGCCAATCAAATACGGTTGGTCTGTTCTTTTTCTGTGAATCTGTTCTTTTTTCATGTAGGGGGTTAGTTGAGATTAGTTTTTTTTAGCAAAATGCCAAGTGGGAATATGCATGAAAATATTGTACTGTGTGTGTGTGTGTGTGTGTGTGTGTGTGTGTGTGTGTGTGTGTGTGTGTGTGTGTGTGTGTGTGTGTGTGTGTGTGTGTGTGTGTGTGGTGTGTGTGTGTGTGTGTGTGTGTGTGTGTGTGTGTGTGTGTGTGTGTGTGTGTGTGTGTGTGTGTGTGTGTGTGTGTGTGTGTGTGTGTGTGTGGTGTGTGTGTGTGTGTGTGTGTGTGTGTGTGTGTGTGTGTGTGTGTGGTGTGTGTGTGTGTGTGTGTGTGTGTGTGTGTGTGTGTGTGTGTGTGTGTGTGTGTGTGTGTGTGTGTGTGTGTGTGTGTGTGTGTGTGTGTGTGTGTGTGTGGTGTGTGTGTGTGTGTGTGTGTGTGTGTGTGTGTGTGTGTGTGTGTGTGGTGAATGTTTGTGTAAAAAGGCAGATGATTTGTCAGTGAAATAACTTTATTTGTAACATTTTACCTCATGAAACCTCAGTAATGTCTTTACTCATTGCAGCAGTGTTGAACTGTATGAGGACTTTAATAAACCTCTAGATGGCAGCAACCTGATTTGATTATGTCTTTTTTATTCACACATCCACTCAAAACTGAAGCACCTTCGATTAGATCAGAGATACCAGTGATGAGGATGTTGAGTTTGAATTAAAAAATATGTTTTATGTGGGTTAAGAATGAGGGGGAGTCAACTCTTTGGGGGGTCTTCTCATATTTCATTAGGCTAAAGTCCCCTTTCAGAAGTAAAGTTTAATAGGTTTGACAGTGACATTACTTAAGGGCTCAGTGGAATAAAGAAAGTTAGACTAAGTTTTATTTTCTGTTGAGCAAATATGTCTTTAAATCACATCCATGTGCTTTTTATAGTTTAAGTGGGACATAAATCTTCACATTTTGGCTACCAATACGTGCAAATTCTTTCAAACCCAATGTTAATGCAATACTGTATGTGTCATACATTTATACTCGCACATATGTGCTTTAACTCTAAAGGATTTGAAATTATTTTAGAAAGTATTTTATAATAAAAATGTGCTTTCTTATTTATTTCTTAGGATGATGCTTACTTATTATGGGTTAAGAATTGGCACAAACAACCTTAATATTCATTATCATCCATATTCTCCAAATGTCCAATAAAGACCATCCTGATGTCATTGCTCACAATGGACCAGAAAGGCCTGCACCTCTGTGGCCCATCTGAGAGTGAAGTGGATGCTGGCGATAGAAGGGAGGGATGAGAGGAGGGAGGGAGGGATAAAGAGAGGGAGAGAGAGTACTGTGCGCGTTCAGGCAGGACAGGAGGGCGCGCGGGACATCAGCACACCGGCCGGGTCAAGAAGCTGCGAGGATGGAAATCCGACCGGACAGGTTTAAGGCGAACGCGGCCAAAGCTCTGGGAAAAATTAACAGGTACACACTCTTTTAAAATTCTCCTCCTCTGACTTTCCCCCATTTTCACCGGTTTGCTGATGGTTTCTGCGGGACAGCAGTTCAGGATGCTGCCGGTTCCCATCCACTCTCCTGCAAACTCTTAAGTGGTTAAAAAAGTTTGTCAGGTATATTTTAATTAGAAAAGCAGGCAACTGTTGGGTTTTAGCAGCAAACATGATGTAGATCGCGCAAAAAAGTCGAGCTTTTCGCATCGCTCTGTTTGGATTGGCAGAAGTGAGTGAAAAATGATGGCAGTGATGGAGAAAAGCTTTGTCCGTCTTTTGATGGATAGTTCTTTGTTGCGCAAAAAACACAAAAACTAATACAGAAACAAACATAACGAAGTCAATCATAGGGATGCAATTGTGCAGTGAAAGTGCGGTGAACTCGCAGCGTGTGCATGTGGGACAGGAGGGCTCTCTCATTGAGGTCTGATGCTTTTTGCAAACCTTTCCTGTTGAAAATAAAACATAATCACCATTTTTCTTGTTTTCCCTGTTTGTTTGTGTGTTTGCTGTGGTCAGATTTGTCCCAACTAGTCAAAGTGGATTTTGTAATTTGGAGTTTTAGATAAGAGCTTAAGTGTGGTTACATAATGTGTCCCTGCGTTTTCTGAATGAGAGTGTAGATCAGCTGCAACCAAAATCCTAAATCTATCCATCTATCCATCTATCCATCTATCCATCTATCCATCTATCCATCTATCTATCTATCTATCTATCTATCTATCTATCTATCAACAATCCATTTATTGTTTCATAAATAAAGTTACATTGATATTACTATACCATTTGAAATATCAGAGCAACCACAAAAGTTAAGCCTCTTCTGTCTCACTTTAGTCAATGAACCATGAGATCTCAGGCCATTAATCATTAAATGTACCAATTTAAAGAACTTTATTTAGTATTATAAAAAAAAGTAAATGTGTGAATCTGTATCAGTCTAATTCCTCTATACATCAATCACAGTAGCTTTTAAAGATGGTTTACAAAGAAGTTGACCTTGACCATTTCATGTCCATGGCAGTGTCATTTTTAAAGAAAGGGCAACTACTGCAGTACCTTGTTTAGAAACATTTCAAACTGTTGGATATATGTAAATAAATGGCATATCATTGCAAAAGTTGCAACACAGATTGGTGATATGACAATATTTCAGACAAAAACAGGAGAGATTAAAAGGACTGATAGAACCTCATGCAATAACCGCTGCTTTAAGCTCTCGCTCTCTCAGGATTTGAGGTAGCAACCAAACGTATAAATCCTGTCCTGAAATAGCCTGTTTTTCAGTCCAGCTGTCGGGCCACGCAAATCCCTAAACTCTCCCCTCCCACTCCCTCCATCCCGGCCCATGTCACTTCCTCCAGCCATTCCCTCCTCCTCCATCCTCCATCCTCCATCCTCCATCCTGCCACCCATTGAGCCATTGAGACACCAGCACAGATAACTTTCCAGCCTATCGGTGTCTCCCAGATTAACGGACATGCAAATCTCAGGCTTTTTCTTACTAACTGGTCGTGAGCCATGCATGTGCACGGCTGCAGCTGATGCTATGAGAGATGTGATGTGTAAAATTGGATCCAGATTGGTTTTAGTGGGCGTGTCCTTCGGCTTAACCAGTGAACTCGGTCTGATGTGGCCACACTGTTAGGTACAAGCAATGGTTTTGAAAGAGAAAGTGAATATTTTGTTCAAATTTATGAGGAAAACGGATTGTTTTAGGTATTTATCTGTGTGCGTGTTTATAGTGTTGCATCCTGAACACAGGACATCCCTGCACTGTGTGAAAAGATGAGTGTGTCTGTGTGCAATCTCATCACTTCACAGACTAAATCCCTCCTGATGAAAGCAGCCAGGAGATCATCTATTATTTAAACATTTTCTCCATCAGAATGCATCTCCTGTTTCTATATTAAACTCCACTAGGTAAGCATAAACTTCATCACTGTAAGGTCAAGTGCACTCTACTGTTCTACTCTCACTATTTCCTTTTTTAACAACTTCAAATGTAGGCCTGAATATCATCTATTCTTCTCCTGATGTCTGGAAACTACTCCATAGTACTCGAGAAATATAATCCCACTACAACTGTCCTCTTATTACCATTATCACTGTCACAGTTTCTTATAGCATCCAGTTTTGCATCTCATAAGTATGCCATGTAGGTTTATTAAAACACTTTACATTTAGGCCTTTGTTTGCACGGCCTCACCAGGAGAGCTTGTGTTTCACTAAGCACAAGGCAATACAGAATATAACATGTAATCCATTTTTAATCCATTTTACATGCGCTGGAATGCTTCATGCAGTGCAACATTTTCAGTTACCACTCAGTCGTCTAAAAGGTGGTGTTAAATATTCAATTAATTGATCCTATGTGTATTTTATTACATTTTCTGATTATTAAGTCTTGGGCTAACTGCAAGAACTGCAGATTTCTTTGCCATTATTTTATTTATAGCATTATTATCAATTTTAAAATGATTGTACACTATGTTCTTGACATGAATTTTTTAGTAAGCCCAGAGCAGCATTGCTACTTCTGTTCTCTGTGCACGCTCTCAGACAGAGGGGTTCCTGACAGATGGCGCATTTTTTGGAACTATGTGAAATGTAATATTGTAGTTAAGCCATCATGGCCATTTTATAATTCAGCTTTAGTGGATTTAATAGCCAAAGGTAAATCTATTAATGTTGAAAGAATAAAGTTTGTTGTACAGTGCCACCCAATGCGGTACTTAGTGAATAATGGTCACATATTGCTGCCATACTTCATCAGTCTAGGGGTTGTGACGATGACAGTATAATCATTGACATTATGACAATGGCAGTGACAATGATAAAGCTACTGGACTAGTTTCTAAGCATCAATATATTTACTCTGCAAGCAGATTTTGTAGTGAAGGCAAATAAACATTACTCTTTGAATCCTAGGATGTTTTGGGATTCTTAAAGAATTTGAAAAAACACAAAAATGTACATTGACATTACATTTGAGACAGTTCTGCTTGTCTCCGACTCAAACTTTTGTCTATCAGTGTGTATATTATGTCCCTTTCTCTACCTGTATCGTGTGTGTGTGGGAGTGGTTACACACACACAGGTTTATTATAGGGTCCCCACAGATGATGTGTCTGCCCAAGCTGAGCAGTTTGGAAAGTCAGCTGTAGCCGCTCAGCATGCACAGTTATTGGCAGCGATACTGGTTGTATCCATGATGTCAGTAATGCTTCATTTGGTCACATTTACACTGCCTCCATGCCTTGAGGTAACTTAAATAATACGTAATAATTAGTTTTGTCAAGAAAACATCCCACAGCCAAAGGTAATATTTGTATGCATCCTACCATATTCAGTTAACATTTAAATATATTTACTCTCAAATATGACCAATACATTATTTTAATAATCTTAATTACCCATTTCCTTTGCGTTTCTTGCATGGAAATAGAACAAACATTTGATCGACACAGTTGTGGATTGAATAATCAACTAAATGCAGCTTTTTAGCCTTAATGTGCAGCCCACATTTTCAAATCAGCCATGGGCAAAATTCAGTAATGTTAAAGTCATGCAATACTATTTCTATTAGTGTGATGGACCATCATTATATTTTCTTATTACGATGTTAAAGCAGTGATAATCTTCCAGGAGGTCACTTTTCACAACAAAAAAAAAAGAATCATGATTTTGCCTGATTTGTGATTTTGAGATAAATTATCAGCTGGGACAGAATACCACCGTGAGTCTCGTGTGCCGGTTGGTGACCCGGGACTTTTGTTACCCTGCCTGTATATTAAATTCACAGAGCGTTCTGCGTAATCCTCCGATAAGAGGATGATAGAGGGGAAGAGAGAGACAGCGAGGGAGGTTGACGGTAAAAATATTATATAACGCCAGACGCCCTGGTCACTATTTGTTCACATCTGTGTGCTGAATTGATCCTGCACTGTGTTGTATGTGAAACACACTTCTATTTATTCATGTCAGCCCACCTAGAACTCTCTTCTAAAAAAATGTTTAAAGAGCAGATATGTGGAGATATAGACTGTAGGTTAAGGATTTATATTTATCTTAGAAATTTCAGTTATGTAGTCATTTCGATCGTGGTGTCTCCCCCTTCCTCTGTTAGCTTCTCTTCTCCCTGAAGTGAACAGATTGGGTCTCTGTGGGATTGATTCACCCAGGGAGACACCCTCCTCCCCATCCTGTCACACCACTTTTTTTTCCTCCCTCTCCTGTGGACACACACACACACACACACACACACACACACACACACACACACACACAAAGTATTTAAACACCTACACGTGTGACCTTCATAAGCGTATTATCTATAGTCACATAGTAGACTTAATCTCTAAGTGAGTGCTGACTGCATCTGCATACACACAAACAAACAAACAAACACACACACACACACACACACACACACATTCTCACACACATACACATACACACACGCAAACACACACAAACACAGACAAAAACACAAAAAAGTTAAGGTCTATATAAAATAAAAATACTTCTCTTCTCTTCCAGTGTTTTTATCTAATCAAATTTTTATTATGTATTGTGTATTGTGGCAATGCGGTATATTGATTTACATTAAATTGCTCTTTCAGGCTGACTTTTTGAACATTTCATGTCAGATTTAATTCATTTTGATGTTATAGTTTGAACTTTGCTTCTCGTGCTCAGGTGAAAAGCACAGATACGAGCTCAGTGTGAGGTATGTGTCGATGCTGAGTCTCCACTGAGCCTGTTACTATATTGTAATTATGATATTTCAGAGAGCCCGAGGTCACGGTGCTCCTGCCTGCTCATGCTCTCTTGCTCATTAATTGTTGCCAGCTGAGACCAATCAGATCCTCGCTATGCTAACGAGAAGAGCTACATCAGCTGAGTACAGGAACACAACACTGTGAGCCTCGCACGAAGGCAAATGACCACGAGACAAAGCTCTGTGTTGCATACCTGTACTCTATCAGACCTTGCAAGTTATGTGCTGCCCTCTATGCATACTTGCAAATGTTGCTTTATGTTCAACTTTTCCTATTTGTTTGTGACGTGAGAGTGCCAGTAAACACCTTCACTGCCACATTAATACACCATGTTAGAAGCAGGAGACCCTTAGCTATTTTAAGACACTCATTCCTGTGGACAAACACACACTAGAGTGAGATTGCCCTTTAGTGGGATGCATCCGCAATTAACGTTAATTTTTGCTGTGGGCTAGCCTCGTTAGCTGGTAGCGTATGTGTTGTTGTCAGGCTGCAATCTGTCGGGGGGTTTAATGAGGATCTTCCTGCAACCTTCACTAGCTCTGAAGTAGGATACTGAGCTCCACTCGGGGGGGGGGGGCGAGTCAGCACGTTTGTTTGGCACAGAGAGGCCAGCAGTGTGAGTCCGACAACTGATTCAACATATGCACACCTTCCCTTGTGTCAAATGAGAACATCTATTCGCTTTCATTTACTGAATTAGTAACCATGTCATCGTTCTGTGTCTTATGTTTAATGCACTTTGATGGAAATGCTGAAGCTCTGTGAAGGCCTGTGCTCATTCAAATAATGAAGATTGTCTTACATTTTCCTTCAGTCTACACCTTTAACAACTGGTAATTTCTCAGAAATATATGAAATATTTATCCAGCTCAAAATACATGAGTTTGAAACAAATGGGGCAGAATTGAACATTTAAGAAACTATTAAATGTTTGACTCAAATGATGACAATGATGATAGTGAAAGCACACTGATTTGCAAATAGCCGGTTCTATGTTATAAGCAGTTTGAGAATAAGGTTAATTGTAAATAATTATAAAGACACATTTAGATTCTAAGTAATTTTTACACACTTATTAAAAACATGTTAACAGTTTATAGACCGCTTCAAGGCATTCATAAAAGCCTCTGTGTCTTATAATTGCTTGTAATAGCATTGCAATCATTATTTCAGGTAATCTATTTTGCACGTCTCCTTTGGTAGCTTTTTTATGATAAAATCATACCTTATTATGCCCTTATTAACACTGCGCTTTTTGCAGCTACACTATCTGGAAAATTGTTTTCTAAGTTGATAAATGAAAATAATGAGTTACATATTAAACAATGTTTTAGTGGGCTAGCACAAAAACACACTTTGAGACAGCTATTTCCTTTTTTGCTTTACTTTGCTTAATTTTCACATATATTTCGGCAAAAATGGGGGCACAAAGGAAATGTTCTATAAAACATCACCCAATACAGGCCTTTACAATTATAATATAATGATATATAATGCTTATAATGATAAGCAATATTACGGTATCTTTCAACTTGTATATTGAAAAATCACTAAATATGTCAAAGTTGCTCTATTTCTTGTTGATATGTTTTATAATTGTTTGTAATAGCATTTAAAACGTATAATATGAGTTAAACTATCTCACATGTCAGTTGTGAACCTTTACAAAGCCTTTTTCGTTGCTTGTATGAGGATTTATAAAAACATTATTATACACTTTTACATAATATTTTCAGAATATCTTTAAAATATAACTCGATGTTGAAAGATAAGAAGGGTATCTTAGGACCTTGATATCTATTAACTTACATTTTTACAAATAATTCTTACAAAGCATTACCCAGAAGAACTAAATCAAGATTATAAGACATGTATAAGCACTAATAATATACATGTTAACAGTTTATAGACAGCTTGAAGACGTGAATACAAAGCGTTCGCCTGATAATTGAAGGGACAGCATGAACTCAACAGTGTGTCGTGATAGAGGGGAAAGCATGCCGAGCCACGCCCAGCGCTCGCCTGTCTCTCCATATTCATTTCCGGAAGTAAATCATTTTTGTAATCCTAATCTGAATGTTGTGACAGATTAGGAGAGAGAGACAGAGCGGGAGAGAGTGGATGCAGCCGCTTTAATCTCCTACAAATTCAAAAACGTTGCTTTACAAAGCATATACTTTCCTGTAGTAGTTCATTGTGTTTTACCTTAAATGTAGAATATCTCATGATATACCAAGTTTTCATTTATTAATATTTATACTGGCATATCTGTTATTATTATTATTATGTTTTCTGTATTGATGGATTGCATGGATGTACAGTATGAAGAGATTATACAGAGTGTGCTGTGTAAAAATGGGGGAGGGAGTGAAATCCACTTCCATATCTGAGGTATAAAAAGACTGGAGGAGACAGAGTGTATATGCAGACAGACTATAACAGATAGATAGTGACAGATCATGGTGTAAAAGCTAGAGTGAATTATTTATCTCACCAAAAAATACATCAATAATTTAGCAGAGTCAGAGTCTGACTTGTCTTGTGTTGGTGTGTGAAAGTTATCTTGGAGTTTCCCTGTGCTGAGAGCCTGAGAGAGAGGAATTGTCTTGAATCTTTCCTTAAAAAAAGATAGCTGCCTTCAATGTTGTGAATGTAGGAACAATCTGAACCTCGAATTTGCAACCATCCTTGTTACAGGGAACAAATCCTCGTTGTGATCGTGCCTGTTTATGTTCATGATTCTCCAGCTCATTGACTAACTGGATCAGCCCAATGGAAAGTGGACGGCTTAAACACACAGACGCATTTTACTGTGGACTCCGAAATAAAACATACAGTACATGCATTAAGAAGGGTGGCACTATGTCTGATTCAATTGGAAAAACCTGCAGGAAGCATATACAGTATTTAAGTATAGCATATATCTGTGTGTGTGTGTGTGTGTGTGTGTGTGTGTGTGTGTGTGTGTGTGTGTGTGTGTGTGTGTGTGTGTGTGTGTGTGTGTGTGTGTGTGTGTGTGTGTGTGTGTGTGTGTGTGTGTGTGTGTGTGTGTGTGTGTGGGTGTGGTGGTGGGTGGGTGTGTGTGTGTTGTTGAGAGCATAGAGGTGATAATGCACAGATGGCCGCTCTCCTGACTTCTCTGTTTGACTCTTTTAGAAAAAAACGACAGAAATGATCAGCCTAAAATAACAGTAATTGATGATTTCTTCTTAACTAAACTGATTATAAAGTGTAATATTAAATAATAATTAAAAACTACATTCAGAAAATCATTGGTTGACAAAAAAAGAAACATTTAGATAAAAAAAAAGGTTAAAGGTGGGGTAGGTAATTCACTTCAGAAACACTTTTTCTTATATTCCATGGAATGCTCTTAACATCCCGATAGCAATGAATACATTAAATGCTTTGACAATAAATACATAAAAAAATGTCATCTGTGGAAGCCGTGGCGCTGTAAAAAGCACGACCAATCATCTCGTGCACAAACTTATCTCGTGCCCTCATTGGTCATGTGTGCGTTCGTGTGTGTTGGAGGAGGGGCTCTGTAAGGAAGTCTGATTTTTTTCGGCTGCTGCGTACTTTCAAATTCTAGCGCATTCGAGCTGGTTTCTCCATTCTTACCTACCCTACCTTTAAGACATACAAGAAATATAAGACAGAATGGATGTATTTTTTGGAAACCACACCTACAATATTACCTGAACTGTTTAGATTAATTTTGCAGTTCTGTGAATTTGCAATCTAAAAGACTCTTTCACTACTGTACCATCTGAATAACCTAGCAGTGTTAAACACACAGCCCTACATATTGCACAGCACCAGTATGGCAGCAGGTCCGAGGTGTCCTGCTGGAGCGACACAGGGGGAATGTGCTGTCGTGGCTAACTCTGCTCCTCGGATAGTGACAGCTGCTTCCACACACTGGGACGTGCTGAGTCAGACACGACCCCGACATAGTGCATGTTGCATGGAGGTGTGTGTGAGAGAAAGACAGAGAAAGTAACCTAGGGGAAGAAGACAAATGTATATCCAATCCCTGCAGTGAAAAGATAAATGCACTCCTTACCACTGCCTCATAATAACATGCTTACCCCACTAAATGATACCAGTTTTCCCACATTTGTTTAACATTTGTTAATTTCTCCTTGTTGAGAATCATGTTGTGTCTTAAAGATGTGCATGAGAGATAAAGAGAAGCCTTGTCTTCCTTAACGTTTGCCGATGCCTTGCCACAATGTTTCGTACATTTTAAGACTGGCATACAAACACATTTCTTCTTGAAGCAAAGACTGAACTAGAAGTGTTCCCCGTTACTCGCAGGAAATCCTACTTTCAGCCATCGTTTCCGTGTTATGCAAGTTGTTGTCCCCAAGGGTGGTGTGCATCAGACTCTCACCTCACTGTGACCTCTCAATCTTTTTCATGAGTAATGTTTGTGTTTCAGGGAAATGCCAGACAACAATTTTAGCCCCCTAAAGTAATTGAGCAGCTGGGCAGATTGCTTTTAGCAGCACATTTTTAAATGAAAACTAATAAAAAGAGAAGGTCGATAAGAGAGGGCAGACCTCTAAGGCCCTGCTGTCTAACAACGTTAACAAAAGTGAAATATAATTATTTTATGTGCCCTGTAATTTGAATTAACACCAAAATGTCATGCATTATCTCCTGGCCTATGCTTTCATTTTTCATGAACATTGGGCCAGTCATTTTTCCTTAATTCTGCTGACAGACTAAAAACATTAACTTGGCAGAATTAATTAATGTCTATAATATATTCTTGCAGTGTTGCACTGTCAGAGCAGATGATCCTAATAATATTGTGTAAAAAAAAACAATAACATACAGATGCATAGATTCAGTGTTTTCCTGTTGCACCATGTGTAACTTAGTGGGTCCATCACTTAAATCAAAACGTAAACAGAATAAACCCAAGTGCATTGTCTCTCATGGAAGCAATCCTACATCAAATTGAAAAAAGCCAATGTTGTGTGAGCCTTTACAAACGATTCCTCTAAAGCTTGATATATCTATGGAAGCCTTTGGATCCACACTGTTTTCTGAGGTGCAGAGGCCAGCTTGTTTTCCTCCTTTCCTCCACGCTTATTCTCTGTGTCTCCCCCCCAGGTTGATTGAGAAGCGGCAGCCCAATGGAGAAACCATTGAGTTATCAGCGGAGGGCCGTCCTGAGCTGGTGGAGGAGAAGGAGCTGCCGGTGGTGGACTGTACCTGCTGTGGCTTACCGAGGCGGTATATCATCGCCATCCTGTCTGGCCTCGGGTTCTGCATCTCTTTCGGGATCCGATGCAACCTGGGTGTTGCCATTGTTAGCATGGTGAATGACCACACTGTCTTCAAAGGCAACAAAGAAGTGCTTGTGGTAAGTGTTGACAAGAAATAAAAGCGTTCAGATTTACTGCATCAGTCAGTCTCTGTCAAGTATGCTTGTGAAATCAGTTTTTGTTTTTCTATGATCTGTTTAAATATTGCGCAGGGTGAACATACTGTATATTGTACATTGGTGCCTTCTCTCCCACTTGACTTCCTCATTATGACACTTTTTCATACCAAACAATTTACCTGTTGTCAAAATAATGCAAAAAAAAAAAAAAGCCATATTCCGTCTTTTCTCTAGGCTGCACAGTTCAGCTGGGACCCTGAGACAGTCGGGATGATCCATGGCTCCTTCTTCTGGGGCTACATCGTCACACAGATCCCGGGGGGCTTTATATGTAGGAAATTTGCTGCCAACAGGTGAATGTCAAATATGTCACAAATAACCCACTGGTTAATTAGCTTATGTCTAAATAAATACGATTGCTAACAAGTAGTTAAATGAGACTACTAAATGTCCTCACGCCGAACATGAGTAACCTCTATCTTAGCCGTGGTGATGTTAAAGGTGGGGTAGGTAATTTTGGAGAAACCAGCTCGAGTGTGCTAGAATTTGAAAATACACAGCCGGAAAAAATCTCCCACTTCCTTACAGAGCCCCTCCTCCAACACACACGAACGCGCACATGACCAATGAGGGCACGAGATAAGTTTGTGCACAGATGGAAGGCTGACAGGCAGGTAGGCCATCCAGTCATTTTAGCCAGGCCGGCTAAAATGATTGGTCGTGCTTTTTACAGTATTACGGCTTCCACAGATTACATTTTTTTATGGATTTTTTGTCAAAGCACTTCAGATATTCATTGCTATCGGGATGTTAAGAGCATTCCATGGAATATAACAAAAAGTGTATCTCGAGCCGGTTTCTCAAACTTACCTACCCCACCTTTAAGTCATGCAACCGTTTTGTTGAATATTCAATCTGATGCAACTTCTTTGTTCTTTTGTTTTAAGAGTATTTGGTTTTGCCATAGTGGCAACATCAGTCCTCAACATGCTGATTCCATCTGCTGCTCGCTGCCACTACAGCTGCGTCATACTGGTCAGGATATGCCAGGGCCTTGTTGAGGTACAGTATGAGCTTATGTTCATGTGTATTGGATGGTAAACTGCTCAAAATGACGGCCAAATACATATCCAAGCCATTGAGTCACATTTTTAATAAAAGTTAGAGCAAGGTGTGTTTCCCGAGATCTGGAAGGAAGCCAAGGTTATCCCATTACCCAAGGATAAAAGAAAAACCTTTGCTGGTTCCAATAGTCAACCTATAAGTCTCCTCCCAGTGTTAAGTCAATTAATAGAAAAAATAGCATACACCCAAATTCAATACTACTTTTCAAGTAACAATCTGACAATGAACTACCAACATGCCTATAGAGATGGTCACTCTACAAGTACAGCACTTGCACAAATGACCGACGACTGGTTAAAAAGCATGGATGATAGGAGCCTTGTAGGAGCTGTCATGTTAGACTTTAGCACAGCTTTCGATGTAATCGATCCCAGTCTGCTGCTGAACAAACTCAAAAGCTATGGCTTTGGTTCTGTTGCTATGTGTTGGATGGAGAGCTACCTGACTAGGAGAAGGCAGCGAGTCTTTTTCAATGGGAGCTTTTCTGAAAGTAAGGTGTTGCAGTGTGGGGTCCCACAGGGGAGTTCGCTTGGGCCTTTGTTATATTCTATATTCACAAATGACCTTCCTTACGTATTAAATAAGTCCAGAGTAATAATGTATGCTGATGATTCTACAATGTACAGTACAGCATCAACATGCAGTGAGTTAAACAATCTACTTAAAATAGAGATTAAAGCCATAGCAGACTGGATCAACATAACAAACTGGTACTCAATTAAGCTGGTCAGTCAGTGGAACAGGTAAACGAGACTAAGTTGCTTGGCATTGTTCTTGATTCTGGTTTAAAGTGGACAAAGCAAATAGACAGTATTGTAACTAAAATGGGAAGGAACATAGCTGTGACGAGAAAATGTACAAAGTATGTAACACCAACCACTTTGAAACAAGTCATCCAGTCTCTGGTTTTGTCACATCTTGAATACTGTCCGGTCATATGGTCATCAACAGCAAAAACACACATACAGAAATGACAAATAGCTCAAAACAAGGCTGCCAGACTAGCTCTCCACTGTTTCAAAGCGCACTCATATTGGAGTTATGCATAGAAACCTATCATGGCTTCCGGTTGAGAAACGTCTGCAATCTCGTGTTATCACTTTTCTCAGAAATGTCCAATTTAGCAAAAAAACACTGTATTTTTTATGATCAAATAGTTTACACAAGAGACGAGCATGACCATAAGACTAGACAAGCTACATCAGGCCATCTACTGGCACCTAAACCCAGGACCAATCTTCTGAAATCTTCTGTGACTTATAGAGCTATAATGGAATGGAACTCATTGCCAAACTACCTTGCTGAAATAGAGTCCAGAGCCTCTTTCAAGAAGAGATTGAAGGGCCATCTACTAACGGCCCGTCCACACGGCGGCATGCGTTGAAGCTTCAACGCTTCTGCCCATTCACTTTGAATAGGGTGACGTCACGCTTTGCCGAACTGCATTGTGGGAGCGTTGCTTCGCTTTGCTCGCGTTGCTCGCTTCAAAAGTTGAGCAATGTTCAACTTTTGAAGCTTCGGCGGAAGCGTCAGCCAATCAAATCATATGCCAGTACAAGCTCTAGCCAATCAAACTGCGTGCTTGTGTGTCCGGGGCGGGAGATTCATGTGATTGGTTGTTGGTCGAGTTTCAGACAAGCTCACCGGCAAGCTTCAACGCACGCTACCGTGTGGACGCTGCGTTATGACCATGTACCCTTGTGAACTGTGAACCCTAATTTAATTTTATCTCATGCTTTGTACTGGTGGGTGTCTTGTGCACTCATCCTTGGCTGAGTTTGATATTGAAAGTGGATGAGATTGTTGATGATGTTGGTGATGTTGTTAATGTTGTTCATGATGTCAGGACTTGTGTCTTGAATGTTGTTGTATTGTTTCAAGTGTCGGACCCCAGGAAGAGTAGCTTTTGTCAAGAGCAAAAGCTAATGGGGATCCTAAATAAACATAAACGTACTAACTTCTTTGTTAGACTACTCCACCATGCATAAGTGATTCTCTGACTGTATTGTGTATTGTGTACTTCAGGGTGTGTCATATCCAGCCTGCCACGGGATCTGGGCCAAGTGGGCGCCTCCTCTTGAGAGAAGTCGATTAGCAACAACAGCCTTCTGTGGTAAAGTTTCTAGTCTAATGATATATTTCCCCTAAAAATTCAATATCTCTAAAATATCTGTAAATGCGGATTTCTATGACCACTGAATATCAATAAAGTTAGCATTTTGAGCACTGAAATTGTTATATTATTAAATGAATAATATATTGCATTTCTTTATATGTGATGCCTTTCAGGATCCTATGCAGGGGCGGTGGTGGCAATGCCTTTAGCCGGGATACTGGTTCAATACACCGGGTGGTCTTCAGTATTCTATGTCTATGGTTAGTATCCTTGTATTCAAATACATGTGTGCCAGCACTATCAGCTGAGCAAAATATGAATGCAAACCCAAGCAATCTTCATTTCAAATGGAAATATTTCCTACTGGTGTGTTTCCAAAGCTAACATTAAAGAATGGCTGAGCTTTTATATAAATGAAATGATTTATCTTTCTACATCAAGTATTTTAAATCAAAATCTTAGCACAACATCCTACTGATTCTGAGTTTCAGAGAGCCAGTGAACGTGTATGCTCAGCTTAATATGTAGAGCATTTATGTCTGCGTTTGTTCTGATTACATTGCTTATAATCAAAAACCAGTAAGTTGACAACTTTGCTATCATAGCTTAACATCAAGCAAGTGCAACAAGCAAGCTAGTTAATGTCACTAAACCAGATTCATTGTTTGTTTGCCAGCTCAAGTCCTGGCAGCAAAGCTAACTGAGCTAACAGAGCTAGCTGACAGAACAACCCAGTATCACGGCATTTCGTGTTATAGCCACGAAATTAATTTAATCTATTGATTCGTTTTCACCAACACGATTTTCGCATTTGTTTCGTGTCACACAGAACGATTTTAAAAGCAATGTATTTCTATTGGTAGTGTGTTTCGTGCCTGCACCACATCTTTTGTGTCCGGTCGGGTCTTGGAATACCAGAAGCTGTGTGGTTCATAAAAACATTTTCTTACTCAATATCTTACCCTAAGCCTAACCCTAACCCCTTTTATTTTACATTGTATAATGTCTGAGTTTTTTTGCCGTCCGCGAGGAAAATAAATGGGTCTCAGAGCCTCAGAATACTGAAATCTGTATTTTTTGTCATCTTGTTTTCCTTCTAATTTGTTATTAATTGGTGCAGGCACGAAACATACTACCAATAGAAATACATTGCTTCTAAAATCGTTCTGTGTCAGAATACTTAAATCTGTATTTTTTTTTATCTCTTTTTCCTTCTAATTTGTTATTATTTACATTGCATTTAAAATTGTTCTGTGTGACACGTAAAAAATGGCGAAATCGTGTTGGTGAACACGAATCAATAGATTAATTTTGTGACTATAACACGAAATGCCGTGAGACTGTGTTGGATAGAAGCTACTGTTAGCGTTACTTTAGCAACAAGTGAAGCTTTCTGTAGTGAAACTCAGTAAATCCCACATGGTTGAGGAAGAGCATCTTGAGGACCTGACAGGGACAACCATAACAAATATCTCCATATCATATTATCCAAAGTTACAAAGTGCAACACAATGGGTTCAAGGCGCAGTGTTCTCCCTTTCTCTGTATCACTTCTCTACCCTTTAGCTTCCTAGCTTTTTATCCTCTGTACCCATGTTGGTTTCTTTTGCTTTCTCTCTCTTCCTCTCCCAGGCTGTTTTGGGATATTCTGGTATTTGTTCTGGGTTCTGGTGTCGTATGAGAGTCCTGCAGCCCATCCCACCATCACAACAGAGGAGAGGAAATACATTGAAGATGCAATCGGAGAGTCTGGATCATTCCTTAATCCTCTGCATGTATGGCTCTTTAAAATGTTTACCATTAATGTACTATTGAAAGTCTCTTAGTCCTGCATATTTACACAAATATACACTCTCTATATAATATTTACCTTGTCTCTATTGTTCTTGAACCATCTTAGTCAAAACAGTGCATCCCAGTAATATCTTACTCCTTTTGGTGGCAGAAATTTAAAACCCCATGGAAAGCCTTCTTCACCTCCATGCCAGTCTACGCTATCATTGTGGCCAACTTCTGCAGGAGCTGGACCTTCTACCTGCTGCTCATCAGCCAGCCCGCCTACTTTGAGGAAGTCTTTGGCTTTGAGATCAGCAAGGTGAGACTATATCATCTATAAACCTATAAAATACTTTCTTTACAGAAGTAGTTTTTGTTCTATATTTTGCTTTCAAACACGTTTTATAAACACAATTGGAATATGCCCAAAGCAACTGTCAATGGAGGGTTTATGTGTTAAGGCTTTGCTCAAAGGCACTGGAGGGAAATGTTGGTATATTTCAACCTGATCATGTTTGGCCTATGGGTCATAATAACCTTGAACTAATCATCTCAAGTATTTCAACAGATTTATATAGAACATTTAATTCTGGGGGATGGCATAATAACGCTAGTGGTGTCTTTAAGTGTATTTTGCTTTAATTTGATAGCAAACAGTGTAGAGGCAATAGGAAATGCAGGGAGATAAGGGTGACTGTTCGACTGCATATCTATTATGTCACAATTTACAATTGTTAAGCTCATGTCAAAGGTGCCCCAATCCGCATAAAACTATTATCCAGTTCCATTTGCTATGAAAAATATGCTTAATCCAGTTATCTTAAATGGGAGATGTTCAATCTATTTTAATCTTCAACCCCCTTTGTTTATGATCATGTATAAAAACACTATTCCTGTCACTCACACTCACACTTTCTCTCCACCCTTTCCTCTCTCAGGTGGGCATGGTGTCAGCTTTGCCCCATCTGGTGATGACAATCATCGTGCCTATTGGAGGCCAGTTGGCGGACTACCTGAGAACCCACAACTTGATGACCACCACCAACGTCAGGAAGCTCATGAACTGTGGAGGTGAGAGTAAAACAGGAACTGGAAAGGGTGATAGTTGTGAAGAACGGGGGAAAGAAATATCAAGACAACCCAAAAGCAGTAACTGAATCACACACGAAACAAATAATGTATAAATGATTATGTAATTTCACATTCATATAAAGAAAATGAGAGACTAAAGTAAGCAGCATTTGAGATTAGTTCAATCAACATCCTTCTGTTTGATGACATTCAATTATTGCATCATATAGATTTTTATTGATTGGCATAAGTCTCCTAAAATGTAAGGATATATATACAAATATATATGTATATATACAGTCTATGGTACGGACCTAACATGTAGAAAACATTGTGAGACCTTTTACACAGCAACTGTGCAGCTCTGCCAGTACTAGAATCATATCAATAATTTAGCTCATCCTAAAGGTTGTATCAGTGTTTCAATCGCAAGTATATAAACACATGTATAATTTGTGTCCATGGTTAATCTCACCTACTACTGGAACCATCAGGATAATATATTTGTTGGCTAATTTATGAATGAATGCTCAAGGACCTCATCATGCTTGTGGTTATTCACTGTTTTATACTGTTATTGCTCTTTTTCCTTAGTGCTCTTTAACTACAGTACCAGTAATGGTCACAAATGATAAAAGAAAACTGCTTCATTAATAAAAGGCATCTTTGTCTATTGGCAAGGCAAAACTAAATAGTTGTAGACCAAATGTTGGCCTTTGTCGTGGCGAAAAAATTGCGTTCCGAACCCGATATGTTATGAAAAACAATAGAGTAAATTCAAAAAAGATAGTAGTCACAACACCAGATAAAAAAATACCAACATGTGTTATTTTCACTGCCGTCTCAACTGAAAGAGAGCCGGGAGGGAAAACTGAGTGAGATTCAATCATTCTTTGTTGGGGAGGAGACACACCTGGTGGAGATCTGCCCTTTACTTAGTGCACTTTTGTTGTGTTTCCATGTGTCAGGTTTTGGGATGGAGGCCACCCTCCTGCTGGTTGTGGGATTTTCTCACACAAAAGCTGTTGCCATTTCGTTCTTGGTCCTCGCTGTGGGTTTCAGTGGATTTGCTATCTCAGGTGAGAGATGTTATAAACAAGTTTGCTGTCTACCAGCCTAACAATAGTCCTGGTACATAAGCCCTGTAAAAAGAAAGATCACTAAACAATATCATTTTTAAACACCAGGGTTGCTATTAGCCCTTTTTTCCAGTCTTTATGCTAAGCTGCAGCTTTTAGCAACATGTTCACTGTACAGAGTGATACTTGACCTCTCAACTTTCAGCAAGGAACCAAATAAGTGTGTTTCAAAACATGTCATGATGATTAAAACGGTAACTGTTATTTTGAGATGTCACTACATGGACACCATGTGACTGCTTCACTAACATGTCATTTAGTGACTCACTCACCAGATATATTATCACAAAGGTTTATAGCGCAATATGCACAACATAACTATCAAACACGACATACAATAGAAGGAAGGTTTGTATTGCCCAAATCTAAATCAAATATGGGACAGAAAACAGTCATGTACAGAGCCATGGTCAGCTGGAACTCTTTACCGGTCCACATCATTCAGGAAAATTCTCAAGTACATTTCAAAAGGTTGCTAAAAACTTATTTAAGTATTATAAAGTACATTTGAACTGTGTCTGTGGCTATGTATGCATATATTATTATGTACACTTATTTGTATTTACTTTTGTTTGGCCTTAGGATGGCGACAATTGGATGACCATTTTAGTTTTCACTTCATACAGCACTGTAAATTGCATGAAATTATGAGCTGTTTTGTTTTAATTTGGTTGTATGTATGTTTATGTATGTTTTGTGTGTGTGAGGACCCCAGGAAGAATAGCCAATGCTCATGCTAGTGCTAATGGGGATCCTAATAAAGACAACAATTGTAAGAAATCCACATGTATAATATGTTGTTTTGTTCTTTAACCCAGGGTTTAATGTCAATCACTTGGATATCGCCCCTCGATACGCCAGCATACTGATGGGCATCTCAAACGGGGTGGGCACATTATCTGGCATGGTGTGTCCTCTCATTGTGGGAGCCATGACTAAACACAAGGTAAAAAACAATTACTTGTATCAACTATAAAATGCTGTGACGAAAGAATTCTCAATCATATTCCATGCCTTTCTTTTCAGACACGTGACGAGTGGAAGTATGTCTTCCTTATAGCTTCTATGGTACATTACGGAGGAGTGATTTTCTATGGTATGACTTGACTCTGAATAAAGTGTTTGGTTAGTTACGTGCAGGAGACCTCGGTCTAAACCTATTGTACTTTTCCCCACTAGGACTCTTTGCATCAGGGGAAAAGCAGCCATGGGCAGACATAGAAGACACCAGTGAGGACAAGTGTGGTATTATCGATGAGGACGAACTGGCCAATGAAACAGAGGATCTCTACCGGGGAGGCGGGCAGTACGGGGCCATGAGCCAACCAGTCGCTGGTTCCAATGGAGGACGAGGAGGAGGGGGAGGAGGAGGAGGAGGAGCAGGAGGAGGAGGAGGAGGAGGAGGAGGAGGAGGAGGAGGAGGAGGAGGAGGAGGAGGAGGAGGAGGAGCCGGGTCGGGATGGGTGTCGGACTGGGATAAGTCTGAGGAGTATGTGCAGAAGCCTGGATACAACTCTTACATGTACGGTGGAGAAGAGGAGAGGGAGCTGACATAGAAGATCCACACGATACACGTTTAAAAAGAAAAGAGAAAGATTGTTTTTTGGAAAGGGATTGTCAGAGAGTCACTGCTATACTGAATGGACCTGCTGTGTGCTTTTGTACAATATTTACAATTGCACATATCAAAAGTATGCATTTGATTGACTCCATTGTGTGTGTGTGTGTGTGTGTGTGTGTGTGTGTGTGTGTGTGTGTGTGTGTGTGTGTGTGTGTGTGTGTGTGTGTGTGTGTGTGTGTGTGTGTGTGTGTGTGTGTGTGTGTGTGTGTGTGTGTGTGTGTGTGTGTGTGTGTGTGTGTGTGTGTGTGTGTGTGTAGATGCATGCAGGTGTTAGAGAGGTTAATGTACACAAACACATGCGGTATTCATTAGTGAAAACTGGACTCATATATCCCAGACTTCCTTTCTGTTCCTGAGCTCATTGTGATTGGTCAGGAGCTCTGTTTCCACAACCTCACTGACGAGATTCAGTGTGTGTGTTAGTGTGTGTGGCTTGGTTTTTGAGTGTACAGCAACTCTCTCAAGCCGCTGGCATTGTAATGTGTTTAAATGTGTATGTGTATGTCACACATTTACCTTTTTTCGCTGGGAAAGCACCTTAGTTTTTCAACTTTTGAGCTAACAACATTGTCCAACGTACTAAATACAACATTAGATGTCACTCCAGTACAATACTCACACTTTTCAGTAGTCTATATAACTCCCAAGGCTCTCTTAATAGACAACATACTGAGCATATGATTAAAAAAAATCAATCCACAAACTAAAAGCTAATGTGTTTTTAAGAGTGAGGCCCCTTGTGGACAATCTTGTCCAGATGCTGGTGATACATTATGATATTATGTTCCATAGCATGCATTATTTAAGTGCATGCATGTGGTGAATACTTTCAAACTATTCAATCAAAGAGGAAAAGGGTGCTTAGGTTTTGTATCAGTCTGTGTTTGTTTGTGTAAAGCTGTAAAGCTTCTGTTACAACAGCCTTCCCTTTATGCGTGTGTGCATTTGAATGTGCAAAGGTGTGTGTTTGAGCTTGCATGTAGCGTCTAGCTGAATCTCACCTGGGTCTGACCCATCTAGGTCACGGCCAGCCAGGCTTATGGGTCACAACACATGAGTAATCATCTGACATTAGTGACTTTCCGTTTTGGTGTGTGTGCGCTCCCATTAGAGAGGTGGCCCAGAAGGACAAGTAGAGTGTGATAGTTGCCTAACTCTTACACTGCATTACCAGCGAGGAACAACATGTATTATTACCTGGCATCACAGCATGTGCTGCCTCTGTTTCTGCCTTTTTCTGCGTCTCTGTGGCTGCCTCTCCCCCCTGTATTTAACACTCTGTCTGCTCCTCTCAGTGTTTCCACTTCTTTAATTCCTACATTTGAGCCATGTTTGATTTGGTGGGTCAGAGCTTTTTTAATTGTCAATGTGTCTGCCTTTGTGTATGTGTGTGTTATTGTGTTGGATGCAGGTGCTGGAACATTGTGCGGTGAGCATGTTTTAATGAGCATAGAAGTGCATTGCCCCGCCATCCCTCTTTTCCTTTTACACACACACAATAACACTCACACATACAACCATACACACACACAGATTGCTATTTTCAATGTGTGCTGAGAGAGTAGTCGCACACTATTTGATATTAACATGGCTATAGGTATGGAGCCTCATGGAAACAGATTAGGAAGTATTAAGTTATCAGAGGGTGTGTTGAGGTTTGTTATCACACCCATCCATAAAAGCAGCACCTTCTCCATCTTGACGCACTGACTGCTGGGTAATGGAGTGAAGTATTTCTTCTGAGAGGACGCTTACATGCTCAGGAGAATAAATGTGGTACTGTACCAGCTGCACAGCACAACAAACATTAAAGTACATGTGAATGCACCTACACAAATACACACACTCATGCAAGAAAAATGCTGCCCTCTGCGTGCTCACAGTGTTTTATTTTAATTTGAAAAGTAAAATTGCAGACAGCTCTTTTAAATCAAGAATCTAATTAATAACTTATAGAGTTTGCCGTTTCAACTCTATTTTGTCAAAAAACGTTTGAATGTTGTAAAGAATTCAAATAAGGGTTTAATGGTCAAATAAGTTGGTATGTCAATAAATAAAAAATGCTGTTTTGAGTGAAATGTCTAAAAAGACATGAATGGCTATTCCTGTGAAGAACTTCATTTGTAAGTGTTGTATTGGTGTATTTTTAATCAAGTTTCTCTTTGTCTTTGGCTGTTCCAATGTTGTCCTCCTACTTGATGAAATGTGTGGTGGGAGTCAGTGTTGAAAATAAAAAAGGAATTGATCATGTTTAAACATGCCAAAATGTGGAGAATATTCTATGTATAAAAGATATGTCAGATTACCTTGTGTATAATTAAATGAAAGCAATTTATTTAATGATGTCACTACTTCAGCACAATCATGTCATCAGGAATATCAGCATGATGACGCATTAAATTAGTGTTTTATACATCATGAGCGCAATGTCAGTTCTCTGTCTTTCTCTGTCTTTCTCTCGAGACAGATGGATGCAGGATTATCTCCGTGATTTTAGGCAAAGATTAGATGGGAGAGCAGATGCACTCAGTGGGAGAGTGAGGGAGAAACATGGACGTCACAGACACCGGAAGTGAGGATGACGTCCAGAGGGTGGGGCATGATGCCTGCCCTGTGTGTGTGTGTGTGTGTGTGTGTGTGGGTGTGGGTGTGGTGTGGGTGTGGGTGTGTGTGTGTGTGTGTGTGTGTGTGTGTGTGTGTGTGTGTGTGTGTGGGAAATTAGGATTATTTTCCAAATTATCCAGTTGTAATAGTTTACTTTTGCAAAATGACATGAGGTCAGGGACCAGTTAGGACATTTATAGCTGCCTTAGCCCATTATAAAATGGTTGGCAAGCCACCTAGACAGACTTATTATCACATAAAGTAATAAAAATGCCATTAATATAATCAAAATAAAGTCAAAATATAGTGATAACATAAAAAAGTTGCAAAAAGATCTGAATATAGTATAGAATGAAAAGTGTCATAATAAACACAACACATAGAAAACAATGTACACCTATATTTGATTACCGGCGATGTGTCATGAATTGAGTAATACAAAAATATTTTAATAATATATATTATCCGTTTTTGTTGTTATATCTTCCATGTCCTGCTGCCCTATTACACATTGTATTACTACCCTGGTCAAGTAGGGCACACCCCTTTTATTTGGATTTTAGTCCACTTTAAATTTGATATGAATATATTTTATGATATAAAAGCAGTTTTTTTCCTATAGGGTCCATGTCATTAGACCCAATGACTCCAAATCAATGCAGCTTTGTGTTATGACTTTTAACCTCCTATGGCATTTTCTGTTTCTCTGTATTAAAATGGTCTATAGGGATTATTATTGTGCAGAAATCAAAACGTAACACTGTAGATGCGCACTGTTACCACAGGAGGGCGCTGAACACTAATTCTAGTAAAGGCAGACCATTTCGGTGAATTCTTTCAAAATAAAAGCCCTATGTATAAAATAGATAGATAGCAGTAATTGTGGAGCTGTATTTGAATGCAATAAATGATGCTGAAGTTCGTAAAGCTTTACATTTTTTGATAAAACAGATTCAATCGGTGCTCATATGAAAATGAATTCCTTTGTGATGTGAATCTAATATATCTGAGGAGTTGAGAAGAACCATCTGAGAGAGAAAAAAAGTTTGCCCGAAAAGCCACGCCCAATAAGGGCTACTCCTATTTATGATTGGACTGATTTGCCAGCTATGGGCGGGGCTAACAGCTAACACTCCATGTGATTGGACCGTCGCGACGTCTGTCTCACTGCCGTCCGTTCATTGGTTGTTTGATGACGGGGATTAACGTGAAAATGCTCTGCTTCTTTCAATGAGCCACAATGGAGACCAAATAGGAACTCGCACGGACTCAAGCTTTTAATGTATTCATTATATGAAGTTAGATTGTGCTAATAGCGTCATCAATCCGCGTTTCATATACTGACACGTAACTGTATTGAGGAAAAACAAGTTGTGGAAAGATCCTGCAGTTTGTCTACAAGTGTCTTTGAATAAGGAAATCGTCTCAGGCTAACGTTATGTAGCAAGCTAATCTCATTTATCCATTTTACTCGTTATTTTAACCATATTTTCACTGGCTGTGATAAACTCCACTTAAGGTAAGTACGATGAAAGACTTCTACCAATATCGATTCAGTAACTATGTACCTAACATAAAGAAGTAACGTCGGGGAGGGTAATCTTAAATCTGGGTCAGTGTCTTCGCCATGTCAGTGTGGGGAGGAAGAGGCTGTGATTTGTTCATCTTCACCAGGATCTTCACTTGATACTTGTTTAATAGCATTATTTGATGTTTTCCAGGCATGACTGAGTACAAACTTGTGGTGGTCGGGGCAGGAGGTGTGGGGAAAAGCGCTCTCACCATCCAGCTCATCCAGAACCACTTCGTAGATGAATATGATCCGACCATTGAGGTGAGGTGCTGCCCATCAGACACAGTGACATGGAGAGGAAGAGGTGGTAGAAGTACTCACATCTTGTACTTTAGTTAAAGTAGAATTACTCAGATCTTGTACTTGAGTAAATGTAGAAGTACCAGAGTGTAGGAATACTGTGTAGCAACAAAAGTCCTGCAATCAAATAGTTACTCAAGTAAAAGTGGAAAAGTATTAGCATCAGAATAGACTGAAAGTACAAAAAATAAAAGTACTAATTATGCAGATTGGTCCATTTCAGAATAATATATATCATGTTATTTACTTTGTACACTGTAGGGGAGCTTGTGAATGTTACCCCAGGTGTAATTAAAGTCTTAAGTGTTGATTATATTACTCATCATTAATCAAAATCTTCAATGTAACTTAATGTATTAAATACATACAAATTGTGGAGTAAAAGTACACAATTTACCTTTTGAATTATAGTGGAGTAGAACACATTTAAAAAAAGTACAGTACTTGCGTTAATCTACTTAATTACTTAACACCACTGTATAATAATAGCCTATATCTAATTTATGAGTTTACCACGGAACTCATTAATGGGGGGTTTTCCTGAACTAATGTGGCTTTAAAGCTGTATAAACACCCACTGCAAAACCACATCTGTCCTGTTACCGGACATCAACTAATACACAGGAAGATATGATGT